GGTAAAAATGGGAGTTCATAACCCACTTGAATCAAAGTGTGAAACATGATATATCAAGAACTATGTAATGTTTTGAACAACCAACAATAAAAAATTAAAATATATATATATAATTCCTCAATTGAAAAAAAAAAAAAAGATGAAAAGCAGGAAAAGAATGTCCATTCTCACCACTGTCACTCCATGGTGCACTGGAAGGTCAGCCAGCGTGGCCAGGCAGAGTTGAAAAGAGAAGCCTCTTGTGAAAGGAAGAAGCAAGACTACCCTTATTTATGAGCACCACAACTTCAGGTGCAGAGGACGCTCCAGAGTCCACAGGACAGCTAGCAGGACTACTTAGTGAGTTCAGCAGAGCCACGGGGTCAAAGATCAGTATTAGAAATCAACTGTAAGTATACATACTAACAACAAACATCTTAATATAAAATCAAGAAATATTTTCATTCACAATAACATGAAAAAGAATACAACACTTAGGAATGAACATAAGTTTGAGAGTTGTACACTGAAAATTACAAAGCATTGCTAAAAGAAATTAAGTACCTAAATAAATGGAGAGAGATCCTGTGTTTGTGGATTAAAAGACTTAAAATTAAGATAACAATACTCCTCAAATAGTTTCATAGATTTGATGCAATTCCTATCAAGATCCCAGCTGGGTTTTTTGCTTGTTTTGCAGAAATTGACACACTAATCCTAAAATTTATATGAAAATGCAAATAACTCAGAATAGTCAAAATTGTCTTGAATAAAGAAGAAAGAAGTTTCAGGACTCACAGTTTCCATTTTAAAAACTTGCTCCAAAGCTACAATAATCAAGACTGGGAGACATCTACCTAAGATAGACATACAGATCAACAGAACAGAATTGAGAGTCCAGATGTACATTTTACATCTATGGTGAACTGATTTCCAACAGGATGTAAAATCAATTCAGTGGAGAAAGAACAGTCTTCAACAAATGATGCTGGGTTATGCAAAGACCCACATGCCAAAGGATGAATTAACTAAAAATAGACAATAGGCTTTATTAAGAGCTAAAACTATAAAACTCTTAGAGAAAATAAAGGTGTCTTTGTGACCTTAGATAAGGCAATGATTTCTTAGATATGACATAGAGTACAAGCAATAAAGAACAAATTGGTAAATGGAACTTTAAAAAAATTAAAAACTTCTATGCTTCAAAAAGGAACCCATTAAGAAAATAAAAAGACAAGTAATTACTGCAGGGGAAAAAAACACCTGCAAATCACATATCCAGTAAAGAACTTGCAGCCAGAATTGATAGAAGACACTTATCACTCAACAAGTGACAAAAAAATGCTAATTTCAAAATGGGACAAAAAAATCTGAGTAGACATTCCACCAAAGAAGTTGTATGAATGGTCAAACAAGCACATGAAAAGGTTTCGCCATCATTAGGAAAAAGCAAATCAAAACCACAATGCAACACTACTTCACACTCAAAAGAACAGCAATTATCCAACAGGAGAAGCTGGAACCCTCAGATGCTGCCAGTGAGAATGATGAGCATGGACTTACCGTGCAACCCAGCAGTTCCACTCCCAGGAGACATGTCCACACAAAGACTGTGTATGGGAATGTTTCAAAAAGCAGAAGCAACCCAAATGCCCATTGACTAGTAAATGGATAAAAAAGTATTACACGTCTACATGGAATAGCAATCATCAATAAAAAGGAATGAAGTATGGATCCATGCTACAATGTGAATAAATTCAGAAGTGAGCTATGTGAAAGAAGAAAGACACAAAGGCAACATATTGTAAGGTACTAATTACAAGAATTGTCTGGACAAGCCAGTATACTGAGGCAGGAAGTAGCTGAGTAGTGACCTTAGGTTAGACAGGAATGGCAAGTGATGCAAGTGGACATGTGGTCTCTTTCTGAGGTGATGGAAATGCTCGAAAATCAGATTAGGATAGTGATTGTACAACTATATAACTGCATTAAAAACCATTGAATTATAATACCCTTCAAATTAATAAATTATAAGGTTATGTAAATTACTGCTCAAAAGGATATTAAAAAAACTTTTAGACAAAATTCTAATTGTTTTATAATCCTCTGGATGTTAATTTCTTGGCTGAAAAGACCCACTGCCCTGGAGGGAGGGAACAGAAAACATGCTGGAGGAGTGGCCGGCCTAGTGTAGCTGCTACGTGGAAGGAGCAAGTCAAGGACCTGAAAAGATTTCGGGAAGCTTCAAGGTCAATCTTTAAAAAAAAATTTTAATAGCAAAATGAAGTAAAGAATACCATCAATGACATAAGGCTAGGCTTTTTGAGAAGGTTCACTGCTGAAATTCAGTTTACACTCTGAATGTAGATGCGTTCTCCTCGTCCGGCAGTATTTACACCGACGACCTAGCACCTCTAACATCTTGGTTTAAAAATAAACTGAGCCTGACATGTGGTAACTAGGCTTGAGCTTCGGTTGTAATTTGCTGGTTAGTAGGATATGATTAAGAAGGGCTACCTCATACCATTAGCGTTGCTTCACTATGTCCTCTGCTGGTCAGCAAGGAGACACCAGTCCCTAAGGAACACCTAGCCAGTGTCCAGCTGAACACACTGGCTGTGCTCCTTCTGCTGAGGAAAATGCCAGGCCCCTCTCCTGACTGCTGGCTCTTAAGCTGTGAACCATTAAAAGACAGTGTGACTTAGCTTTCCTAAAATAAACCATTTATTGAAAAAAGAACCTTTTTCTTAAATTTCATTAATCAGCCTTTTGCATAACAAACCTGCAGCTTGCCAACAACAAAAAGGTTTCACAGTCAGTGCACTCAACAACAGGAGATCAGAACAAGGTCCAGGACACCCGATAACACCACGACTTCTTTTGAACCCAGAAGGGTGAAAACACTACATTGATGTCACAGTTCTCCACCACGGGAGAAACAGGAGACAGAGGCGGTGGTCCGTGTACAGTAGTAATGGCACTTAACATGCAGCTTCTTTAACCTCATGGACACTGTCACTCAGGAGGCCCTGTGCCACGTCAGACAAACAGGAGCAGCGGGAGCAGCGACGCCTGTCACCTGTGCAGTCTTCAGTTGGAAGGTTAAAAGGCGAGCACTGCTTCTCAGCAGTGTTTATGTAAATATTACATACAGTAGTGACTAAGGGGTTCTCCAAGTCCACACACTACCAGGCCACGGGCTGGAGAGCTTCACTCTTCATCTGTGCAAACCTGTGAGGAAGCAGGAGAGAGCTGAGCCCAGGCAGGTGCAGGCACACAAGCAAGCTCGCCTGAGCCGAGACTGACAGTAAAGGCCGGTCCACTACCCTGGTGCCAGCACCCTGCTGGACACAGGGGGAGAGGCACAAGAAAGGAAATGCTTGGGGACAGTGCTGAGTGTCCTCTCTCAGGGAGAACCTGGGAACGGAGAACTGAAGTTACTTTTTCAAACATATGTCTAATCTTGGGTCAATGTTGATCCATTATTTACATATTCTATAAGAAATAACTATTCCCGATGACTAGTCCCTAAGGCCCCACAGCTAGCCCGGCTGCCTGTTCCACACCCCCGCTCTTTCCCGGTTCTCTCTGGCAGTGGGAGTGCCTCACAGAGCCCTGTGGTGCTGCTCTTCGGGGTTCCAGTCTCCTCATTCTCACTGTTCTGACACACACCCCAGCAACACTTCTGCCTCCCAAATCTCTATCACAGCCCAGTTTCTTCTGGAGTGCCAGCCCTAACATCCAAATGCTCATCTGAAATCCACAAGCAAATGTTCCAAACGTGCTGTGAATTTAACTTACTGGAGGAGAAACCATCATGCCCCTGGCCCGCCCCTTAGCCAGTTGCCCTCTACAGTGGTGAAGGTAGTTTCCATGAACTGCTGACAGCCAGGAAGCTGGGCCACCCTAGACTCCTCCCCAAGTTCCTCCTTCACATTTCACATCCGACCAGATCCTTAGTCAAGGCCATGCTACTCCAAACATGGTGGATAGTTTGCTAATTGCCCATTCTCAATTCTTCAGCTGTATCAGCAGATTCCTAACTAGTTCCTTATCTTCAGAGTGATCTTTCCAAAAAGTTATTTAATGATGTTATATTTACAATAAAACTGGCATTCCTTAAAGCTGCGCTGCTCCTTTTCCAGGCCATCTCTTGCCCTTTCCGTACCCCGTTTTCCTCACCTGTGCTGGCTCCTCATCGGTTCTGCCCTCTGGACTCAGCCTTCCATGCCTGTTCATGCAGGCTGCCACACCCTGCCTCGACTCCTCACCTGGCCAAACCCTCTCTAATAGGCTAGGTTATCAGCCTTTCAATCAAGAGAAAATAACAACTGAGATCACCCGACTGCTCTAATTCTCCTGCTCAGTAGGCCACCACCACTACCACAGGTCTCACATCAGGCTGTCCTGACTAACCTGTCCCTGATGCCACAGACTATCCATTCACTGCAGTGGAAACTAATCTTGGAGCCAGTACCATTTAAAATCCTATTTAGCTGTTCCAGGTGTACCTAAATATGTGCCGCCAAAATAGATCAAGAACCTCAATAAACATTTTTCAAATAAAAAAAAAAAACTATAAAATTCCCTCACATAAGAAGACATTTAGTTCCTTTCCTTTTTAGATAAGGTATTTTAAAATTAAGTTTCCAAATTTCCTTACATGCCAGATGCAAAACTGAACTTAAATATTTAAACACGAAGATAATGATCAGTGATCTGACCTTGACAAAAGAATGGTCGAGGAGCTGGCTGGCCGTCCACCTCATCTTCGGGTCACTTTCCAGGCAGTGAGAGAGAAAGTCCTTTCCCTCAGGGCTTAATCTTTCAGGAATTGGGGGCTTATGTCCCATTCCCACTTTATACATAATCTGAAAATTGTGTTCATATTCATGCCAAGGCCTCTACAAAGACGGGGAAAAACGTCAGATTTTAATATTACATGGCCATATAAAATGCAAATACTCAATCTTAGGCATCTTAAAATTGGTATCTATATTTGAAGTAGCAAACTTACTCAAAAGACCAAACAGAAAATACTTCAGGCCTTGAGGCCACCTGATCCCCGTTAAGCATTCGGCTCTCTCACTAGAACACGACAGAAGCTGGGGACAGTACATACAGGAACAGGTGTGACCGTCCAATGGAACCTCGTCTAAACGCAGGCGGACAGCACGGTTTGCCCAGCCCATTTGGGATATTCTGTTAGTCCAGCATAATTTAGAAGCCACTGTCACATAACTAAAAGATGTAATATGTAAAATGATACAAAAGTCACTAAAACATACAAAACTCAACATTTCTCTCACAGGGATTTAATATGCTCCCTGGTTGAATAATGAAAACTCTGTGTGGGTAAAGCTTATTTTACCATGATGAGAAGAAAAATGAGGTTCACAGGGGAAGGAACTGAGTTATTATACCATTCTAATTTATGTGCTATTGATTGGTTATTCCAACATGTACTCTTGAATGGGAATACATGTTCTTGTGTGACTTGACTAAAATAATGCGGACATCGTGGCTATCTTCCTTAACGCTAACAGAGGTAACATCAGCAAATATTTGCTGAGCACTTGCAAGGTGTGTTCTTTTTCCACAGCTGCAAGTATAGCTGGATAATGATTTAACTAGTTTCCTAAGAACACTTAAGAGCTTGCTAGTGTTTCTTCTGTGTAAGTGATGCTAGACAGCCAGACACTCTTGTGTACCATGCCCTTCTATACATTTTTATAATTACTCCTCAGTAGTATCTTCATCAGAAGCTAAATTTTCAGAAGGAAGAATTTCTTGATTTGAGGGTATGCAATTTAATTCTGATAGATACTGTTTCCCAGAGTATTCTGCATTTTTGACCACAATATATGTCAATTTCCTTATACCCCAAAAGCAAGTATTCTATCTTTTTAAAATGTTATTCATGTGCTAAGTAAAAAATAAAATTCCACTTTTAAATATGTAATTCTGATGAAGCTCAACATTTCATGTTTCTTTCTTTCTTTTTTTTAATTAACAGGCTTATTTTTTCCAGAGTACTTTAAGTTTACAGAAAACTCCCTCGGAAAATACGAAGTTCTCACCCAATTCCCCACCCCTCCAGTTTCCTGTTATCCTCATCTTGCATTCGTGTGGACCATTTGTCACAACTGATAGGCCAACATCCACGAATTATTGTTCATCAAAGTCCACAGTTCACATCAGGACTCACACTCTGTGCTGTGGAGTCTGTGGGTTTGGATACATGCACAATGGCATGTATCCATCACCACCATCCCACACAATGGTTTTGCAACCCTGAAAATACCTGTCCTCCATGTCCGTGTGCTTCAACCACTGATGTTCTTGATGTCTACAGTTCTACCTCTTGCAGAATGTCACACAGATGGAATCATACAGTAAGCAGCCTTTTCAGATTACCATCTTTCTTCACTTGGCCAGATGTAACTAAGGTTCCTCTATCTTCTAAGGATTCATAGCACATTTTTAAAGATCTCTGAATAATATCCCACTGTGGGGATGTAACAGTCTGTTTACCCATTTATCCACTGAAGGACGTCTTGGTTGCTTCCAACATTTGGCATTTATGAATAAAGTTACTGTAAGTACTAATGTGCAGGTTTCGCATGGACCTAAATTTCAATTTCATGTTTCTTTTTGTAACTGCTTGCTTCTTTATGCTTTCTTTAAATTCACTTGTTAAGTGTTCTCTATAGCATATATCTTATAAACACTTGTTTCCTAGTTTGTCCTTTTCCTCAACATTATTCTGTCTTTTGATAGGTCACATTTTTATCTCTAATTGTGTTTTCTGGCAGAAAATGTGTCCACAGAATTTATAACCAATAATAAACCACAACTACTGCCCCATCCCTGTACAGTGCCCTCCTGAAGTTCCTCCTCCAGGTACAGGTTCTGCTTACCTTGCCTGTCACCATCTCTATGACAACGCAGCCCAGACTCCAGATGTCTGCTGCACGTCCGTGGCCTTCTCCTTTAGCACGGGTAATGACTTCAGGTGCCATGTATGCTTTAAAAGTCACAGATATAGTGATTGTAATACTATGTATTAAGAGTGCCGAGCAATAAATTAATATTTTTATATTATTTTCCTGAATTATGTCAAAGGAATGCTGAAACTGAAAACAGGGATTTTGAATCATTTGTTGAATGGACTTTTTAGGGACAGAATTCTGTTTTAACAGACAACTTTTGAATGTGCAAATTTTCAAATAAATTGTATTCACATTGAAAACAGGAAATTGAATTTGCAAAAGAGGATACAAAATTTTGTGACATTAAACAATCAAAATACCGTTTCAACTAAAATAGTTTTAGTAACACTATACACAACACAAGAGTCTTTCTGAGAAGAAAAAGCAGCTATCCTCCCAGGGTAGTTAAGATCATTACTCAGTCAGTTGCCCTCCAGGAGAAGCCTGAGCATGTGGGGGAGGGTCCTCCTCATGACCTGTAACCTGCTCCCACCCTGCAGGTCTGTGCTGACCAGGAAGGGTGAAGGGAAACCCAGGAGCCATGCCCACAGCACTTAATGAGTGCAGACCAGCCCCACTGGCCCATACCTGCTGTCCCCAGTGTACTATTCACTTCACCAGGCATGGTCTGGGCATTGTTTTTAAGCTTTACTGAGCATCCAAAATCTCCCAATTTGATGAGTCCAGATGAGGTAAGGAAGATATTGGCACCTAACAAGAAATAAGCAGTCATTAATCAGCCTCTGAAACACAATATTGGCACCTGCATGTTAATGTGGTAATCTAAACTACAAGAAACTATTTATAAACTAAGTAATATAAAGATTATGGAGTTTTACTTACAATGTGCAATTATAAAAAGATGTGATGCTTATTCACAAATGTTATTAATACAAAGCAACAAAATTTAACATCAGGATAGACAGCTCTGACCAATAAATTTGGAAATGAAAGGTGCATAGATTCTAACTCTAAAAACTCACAGAATACTTGAGAAATTATTATAAAACACAAATGTGTGTGACAGTTCCTGAACATTAGAGTTGGATGCAATTAACAGCCTCCACAAGAGGAAGAGACACGTAGAAAGACCAGCACATACGCTGTGGTTCTTCAGAGGTGTGGCTGAGGCCACCTCAGGATATGTTTTAGAATATGACTAAAAACAATGTTCTGTAATTTTCCAATATTTCTACAAGCAATATACAAGCCTAACTCATACCAACTTATAATTGGAACTTGGGGTTACTGCTCACCTCTCAATGCAGCTTGACCTTTTACTATAGGCTACGAGATATTATTGCTCCAACTAAGTCACACATCTCTAGCATGCGTCTATGGTACTTCTTCACAAAAAGCGACACAAAGACGTCCAAACTGGTAAGCAGTCATGTGATGAGAGGTAGTCTAACAGTCATCCTCAACACTCGAGTCCTCCCAAGGTTCAGGTCCCCACAGTGGACTAGAGTGGTGATTCTGCAATCCTGCACATGTACTCAGCGTTAGCCATGCTGAACTATAAGGCATTAGATAAGGACACCGGTGTGCTGAACTGATTCAAGGACTTGGGCAATTCTCTTTACGCAGCCACCATTTCATGACAGTGCACCAAGGGTAAGATTTCTGAACAACTGAAATAGGCAATGCCAGGGGCTGATACCGGGCCAACTAAGCAAAGGCCCAGAATAATCCCCACAGCAAAGCCATGTGGTGGAGAGGCAGGCAGCCAGCAAGACTTGGGAACGCTTGGTGACTTAGGGTGAGCCATGCTGTGAGCATGAATAACTCCTATGCTCAGATGCAGCAGATTCTGGTGGGATCTGAAGTAGTCCAACAGACTGCATCTGGTCTCTGGTCAGAAGTCACACCAACTCTCAAGTAAGTGTGTTTAGGTTAAACTCAGACTACATGACAGATGGAACTCTTTAGTGCCAATTAGAGAAAAAAATACTCTCCTGCTTTAATTATTTCCTAGACTTTAAAAAAAAAAAAAGGTCAGGGGCACAGTGTGGTTAAGACAAACGTCCACACTAACAGATCTGAGATGAAAGGATCGCTATTCCCCTTGTGCCAGAGTGAAATGCACTTCTAACCAATCAGCATGACCGAATTAACCTTTAACAGAACTTTAATTTGGAAGTTGGTGTAAATAAACCCTGTTCTTACCTCCAAAGACATAACTGTACATTGACTTACAAAGCTATTTCTGATTTACTATCATTTTATAAATTTACAACACTCATTTACAAATACATAAGGATGCTGACACTAGAAATAGAAAGGTTGCTTTGTTGACGAATATGTAGTAAACACACAGGCTATGTCAAATCAGCTCATGAAACTTCCTTTTGGAGAAGCAGATTTCTCTAACAAACAGATAAGAAGCTAGAGACTCTTCTCAGGGATGCAGACATGGTTTTATATCACTTCTCAATGTGGTGTTTGTTAAAGTAAAGATCTATCTACGTGGAAATAGACATACTGTGTAGGAGAGGATGGGAGCGAGCATCTCCAGAGCACCTACTATGTGGACACCGGGTGCGCGTGGGGATTACCTTTAATGTCACGGTGAACTATGCCATGCTCATGGAGGACGTTGATGGCGATGGTGATCTGCTTTGAATACAGCCTGATGACATGCTCCTGGAGCCCCAGTCTTGACACCTCTTCTAATGTGCCCTCGTCACAGTACTCCATGAAGATGTACATTTCTTCCTACAGGAGGAATAAGATGAAGCCCTGACTGTGGTGTTCCTTATAGTGTGAACAGTCTGGAAAACCACCCAGGCCGTGCTCCAGAATCATTCTTCTTCCTAGTGATGCACCACACTGGCCATCCCAAGCACTGAGTGTGCTGTGCAGAAGATGTGTCTAACAGAGCTCATCAGGGTAAGAAAGCCTCCTCCAAATCACAGGGGATGCACTTCTATAATCCTGCAAGATCAAGTCTGCCATATAAACTGAGACAAGGAGTCACAAGGCCTTCCTAGATACTATTAAGTACTGAAACACATCCTTTTCCAATGTAGACATACTTGTGAAAACATCAGAAATGATCAACACTCAACTCTCCCTGGAAGCTTCGGCTCTGCACCAAGACACTCCAAGTTATCCTCTCTTCCCTGACAACGTGCATCTCTAAACCCAGGGGAAATGAATGTAAGGTTTTAATTTTCTGTCATTTTACAAAGTTTCCTGAACAGCAGAGACAAGTATTCAGCATCACTTAATGATGTACTGTGAATGGAAAGCAGGCACATGTCACGTGGAGGGGTGCTTCAGAAGGACCTTCTGACTGGCAGGACAGGTTTCAGTGCTTTGTAATGTCGGGTTGATGACTACAGTCTACAACTTACATTTTAGGAGGAACTCCTCTAGTTTCAGAGAGAAGGCAGAAATGATGTAACTCATGGAGATTTCCTGATAATTAGGCAAAGTTACTGTGCTCTGAAATGAGAAGACCTGTGATGTAGAACAGGACTCCATCGTGCACCCTCACTGACTCCTCACACAAAGCAGTGTGACTCAAGGTGGCTTACTCTGTGCAGCTCCACACCAAAGTACCGAACCAGATTGGGGTGCTTGATGCCCTCAAATATCTTCAATTCGTCTGCAGTCTCCTTGATGGTTTTATGGTCATTTGGTTGAAATCGAATCTGTGAAAGGAAAATTGCTGGTAACTATCAACACCATCACAAACAAGAAACAGGAATGTCCTAAGCAACGAGGTCTGTAAAGGTGTCTCTTTGACACTTTCATTGTCCAGGCCCACTGGCATATGGTCTTTTTGTATGTGACTCGACTTACAGATTTTCTTTCCTTTGTTGTTCAAGGAAATTAAGAATGCTTGTGTTTGAATAAGTGAGGATATATAGCAGCTAGAATTACTGTTACAACTGTGAATATAACCACCCAAAACATTTAAATATCCATAAGCAAGCTATCACTGGTGTTTTGCTTTGGGGCAATACAGAAAAATCAAATCTGATTCTGCCCGTATGAAGTTTACGGCTCTAGATTTCACAGGTAGACCATGCAGTACTGTGTTTCTGTGCCTCGTCTATTATTCCACTTGGTGCAATGTCCTCCACGTTCATCCATATGGTTGAAAAGGTGAGTACAGTTAATAAAACTGCCAGAACAGCAAGTTTCAAATTACAAAAAATGCGATGAGGAAGGTTAATTAGCTTCATTTACTCATTCCCCATTACCCACATGTATCAAAACATCACCCTATCCCATCAATACGCACAGTTATAATTTGTCAATTAAAAATTTAACACAAAAGGAAAAAAAGTTTACAACCACGTTCGAAAGAGGAGAGCCACTGGCCAGCAAGAGGGCAAAGTGGCTGGGACCCTGCTGGTCAAACCTCCCATCTCACCCTCAGCCCATCCACCTTCCCAGCCATGAGAGGGCCCCTCCCTTGGCAACAAGCCCTTTCCCTCCCTCCCTCAGGCTGTTCTTTGGGCTTCCCCTACTCTTGTCAATCCACCTCCAGCTGTCAAAACACCACCCATGTCTGACCGTCCTCACAAATGTCACCTTCTCCCCAGCTCCCTGCATCAGGTCTTTCTCCTCCTGTGGCACTTCTCATACCTCCGTGGTCTTGACATACTCACTCCCCACCCTCACTGGAATCTTCAGCACCTTTATACCCCACGTCATTATGTTAGCTCAGCTGTCGCGTTGGTCCTGACTGTCTCAATGCTAAGACATGGGCCTCAGGCCTACACACCTTGCCATGGATAGCACTTGTCAGCTGTGAGCAGGAGAAGCTTGTCTTTACTCTCTCATGCTGAGCAAACCAACTCAAGGCCCCACTGAGCCAGCTGACTCACCTCCTTCATGGCCATCAGCTCCCCCGTGTCCACACTGATGCAGGTGTAAACCTTCCCATATTGTCCTTCTCCTGCGAACAACACAAACAGGCTGCTCGTCTAGTTAACACAGACAGGTTTAGTCACTGAAGCTTACAATCATGTTGTCCATTACTTCTGGATGTATGTTTATATATCTACAATTATGTTCACTAGAGTTTAATTACTGCAAGACTCAAAATAGTTTTGAATGTCCCCTAATAAGTGAAGTCTCAGACATCAATGTGTCCTCTCTGTAAATATTTTTAAATAGAGAAAAACTGGCTTCAGGAAACTTCCAAAGAGACATCAGACAAGTGATGAGTGGCTTACACTTCTGAGCTCTCATGCCTCACAAGGAGATCTGTGTTGGGGTGGAAGCTAGTGGTCAGGAGCACACAGGCCCCGTCTAACCTGTCTGCTACAAGGGCCAGGAGCATGGGGGCAGGTATTCTCTTGTGTCCCCTCTGGGATGTCAAACCATTGGGATTTACAGCTGAATTAGATGGAGAATGACAAACTCTGTAAAGCACTTGACTGTGCCAGGCACTACCCTACTTGATATCACCAAGGCCCTCCAGTTCCCCGAGGCCTGGAGTCCTCTTTCACAACTGTGTCTGCCCCTCAGGGTTAATTACCTGACAGATGGACACATCGAACAGAGACTATTTTCACTCCACCTTCCTTATTTTCCTTACCAATTTTGTTTCCTCTTTGCCATTTGAAGGTCACCTTCCTCAAGCCAACATGCATGACATTATCATAGGATTTAGGGGTATCACAAACTTGACCAATGATATTTTTTCTCCTCATTTCTCGATACCGCTTTTCTTCAAACAATCGGACTGATTTCTGGATAGCTTCTATGGGTCCTTGTTTAGAAGCAGAATCTGCAGAGAGACCCACAAACTCATCGGTCCTAGTCACTACAACAAAGTCAATTTCCAGTAAATACCAATGACAATGGAGCAACAGACATCAGCATGTCGTCATACTCAGATAACAGCAGGTGAATGGAAGGCCTGCAGAGAGTGTCTCTCCATGACAAGACACACTAAATAAACCCGCTGCTTGTTAGAAGTACATCTCCAGCCCACCCTCCTGCTGGCCAGCACCTTAGCAAACAGGAAAGCTTACCAAGTTACTTTCCTACATCAGTTTATATTTCAGTTCCCCATTATCTGCTAACCAAAAATCTAAGTTCCTTCAAACAGGATTAAAGGTCCTGTAGAATTGAGACCCAATTTCACTTTTCTAGGTCTTTTTGTTTTAACCCTTCCTCTTTTCTTCTCTTACCACATGCTCCAGATCTGTGAGACTGAAAGATTTATGGAACACACCCAATTGCTGTTTACTTTCCCCTTTCAAGATTTCTTAGTCTTGAATATGTAAATATGAATTGTAGTAGCTCTCCCAAGGGGAACAGACCCAGTGGTTCCCAAGTTTACCTTACCATAAATTGTTTCGAAAAGCAGAGCAAAGATCTGGACTCTGGGGGAGCCATGAACAGACCCTCCATCAGGATCAAGCCTAGGATGTCTCCCCTACATAAATCCTAGACATACACGTAATCTGTCACCAGGCCTGTCAAATATGGCACCAAAGCTTTTTCCTACTGCCATTCCCTTTTTGAAGCCCACCTTAGTCCACTAAGTATTATTAATACTGAATCACTTGAATGGGCATTCTAACTGATCTCCCCAATTCCTCCCCAATTCAGGCTAGCAGGGTAATCTATTGCATAGTGTTTTCTAATCCCATCCTCCCTTTAACCAAATATACCAGCTGCTCAAGAGCCTTTGAGAGCTGCCCACCACCTCTTAGATCACTAAAGACCTCACCCCTCAGATTTCACCTGCATTTACATCCAAACCTGCCAGTCTGGTCCCATTGGACCATTCTGCAGCTATCAAGCCTCAAGGTATGTTTTTCTCTGTATTTTGCCTCTTGCTTTGTTATAGACTTGTCTTCCCTCAAGAGTCAGGTCAGGGCTGGGGATATAGCTCAGTTGGTAGAATGCTTGCCTCGCATTCTAAGGCCCTTGGTTCAATCCCCAGCACCACCAAAAAAAAAAAAAAAGTCAGGTCAGTCTCCTCCTTCCATGAAATCCTTCCTAACCTCTATAGGTCCTGGGGACAAATACTCTTCTGATTGGTCATACATATGAAGTTCCCAACTTCTAATTCAAAGGGGTGCTGTGCTGGGGAGAGCTCTGGCCTTAAAGACAGAAGTGTATTCTAATCCCAGCTGTATCATTTACTACCTTGGCCAAATTATGAGGTCTTTCAGAATCTGTTATCATTTATGAAATGGGAGAAACATCTATTCTGCATACTGCTCAAGACAGCTATGACAAAAAATACATGAAAGCATTCTGTTGATCATAAAATGCTAGATAGTGAATTTTCTGTTATTCACATTTCTGATTAATACTGATTGATCACCTACTTCATTTCAGTTTTTTCTCTCAACTTTTCAATATAAACAGCTAAATATACTAAGCTGCTTAAGAATATAAAAAGCTTGTAATTTGCTAAACAGGAAACATCCACAAACAATTAACAATGGGAACTGATGTCAGAAGTATAAATGAGATCACAAAATATTAATGTAAAAGGTCCAATAATTCAGAAGTTAAAGCAAAAAAAAAAAATTTCTTTTTTTTTTTTTTTTGGTACTGGGGATTGAACCACAGTGTACCACTGAGCCACATGTCCTTCCCCCAATCCCACCTTTAAAAAAATTTTTTGAAACAGGATCTCACTAAGTTGTCCAGGCTGGCCTTGGTTAGCCTCTTGGTTAGCCTTCCAAGTCACTGGGATTATAGGCATGTGCCTTGGTGCCCATAGCAAGCTAAGACAATTTTAAATTGGAACTAATCATCTCACTCTTAGAAAACATTTTTAAGTTCAATGTCCTTCTTTTACCTTTGGTCTGGCTAATAAGTGTCCGAAGTTCCCAACTTCTTCGTGTTGACCCACTTGAATCACCTCTTGGATATGCTGGTTCTGCAAAAAGTATTTTTTTTTTTTTAACACAATTTAAAGATTTATAAAATAAATATACTTGAGGGAAGACTGAAACAGTGAGTGGCCATGGTTACTCTCCGGCCATCCTTTCTGGTGATCAGTTCCTAATGTGCTTGATGCGGGTGCCAGAAACTATTTCTATAATCAATTCTAGAAAATTGTACCAAACTCATACGTTGCTATCAGGTTTTTTTACTACTTCCCATAAATAACAGAAAAGAACACTGTATGGGTCCTGCATTCCTGGGGACTCCATTCAAGAGGCTGTTTTCGGAAACCCTGTCCTGATGCAACAGGAATAGCAACATGTTGCTGGGCAGAGACACTGAGGGCTGCATTGGAATAAAATTTCAGCCTATCATCAACAAGTGCAGTATCACTTTGATATTTTTTAAAGTGAATAGGAGTACCCAACAATTAAAATATCAGCAATACTGATTAAAAAAAAAAAAAAAGCAAAAAGTAGTCTCAGAATATGCAAAGCCAGCTAAATAGAGGCATCTATATGAAAAGTCAGGGTGTTGAGCACCAATCTTCTCATAGAGCCTAATGCTCCTGACCCTTTCTTCCTCTTTACAGGTGTTAACAATAGGCACTGACTGAGACAAATCACTAGGCAGGTAGAGAATGTGGTTGACACCTTTAAACACTTACCGTCTCGCTCCTCTGTGGGGCTTGAGTGACGACTCAGAGACCTAAACTGCAATTCAGCAGCTATGGAAGCCAATCGATCATTTTCAGGGACGCTGGAACCCCTGTTTTAATATTTTTAACAATTGAACTATCAATTCAATGGAACTTAAAATGAAAGATCTGTGAGATTCTTCTGGAGCCTTGATTCTCAACTGGGGAAAATGTTGCCCCCCAAAGGACAATGGCAGTGTCTGGAGACACGCTGGACTGTCATGGAAGAGTACAGTTGGCATCTAGTGGGCAAAGGACAATGCACACGACAGTCCCACAAGAACTGCCACCCAAAAGAACAGAGTTGTCACTGAGAAAAGGTCCCCTTCCACAGGCTGTGAGGAAAATTCTGGAGCCAAAGAGAGCTCCACTATTATCCCTCCACAAACAGCAGGCCAGACCCACAGTTCCTGCCTGCAGAATGTCCTGTTTTACATTAACACAGGACATAAGATGGGTTAACTTAAGTATGACTGACAGGCATGGGAAGCTCCATAGTTTAAGCCCAGGTAAGGTAAAAATATGGCTAATATAGCTAATGTTCAAGGTTTCCATTAAATTACATTTATTTACTCAACCATACTTAATGTAATAAAATTATTACATAGTTCAAAAGATTCCAAACCTCTAAATGGTAAGAAAATGGAAGGGAATACCTAATGCTTTCTCAAGCAGTATTAGCAAAGCAAAAGTACAAGAGCAGGAAGCTTAATATATTAAATAGAACAAAGTTAATTAGTTGCTTTTCCAGAACAAAGTAGCCAGAGTAATATTCAGCAACCAGAATGAACCCATAAGGAGTAAATACCAGGATTAATTATAAAGGAAGTGTTAAAACTGCAATACAAAAATTAAAGAATCCAAAATAAATATGGCATTAGTTGATTAAAAAGGTTACTGGGTGTGTATTTTTAAGTGAATGATATAATGAAGTATGGTAGCATTTATGCTCTTTTCATTAAACACTAAGTAGTTGACAACACAGACTATTGGGAAAATTATGAAATATATACATTTTTATGTTTCCTTAAATCTTCAAACCTAGTATAGTACTTGTTAAAAAAGAAAGAGGGTGACAATTTCTCTGCCATGTAGTTCAAAACCACGGGTGCTGATGTGAAGGAAGACATCCACTTATCAGCAGTGCCACAGTCTGAGACCATGGAGGAGTCACCCAACGCCTTTACCTTCCTGATTCCTACAGGCAAAATAAGTCGGTCCCATGTCCTTCAGAGAATTTTGCAAAGATAAAAAGCAAGAACACACACTTTTCCTAGTGGTGTATCTGGGAATGTTTAACAACTACCTGTGGGGTGGGACCTGAGAGGGTAGGAGGTAGGCCGTGGAATTTATCAATTTTGACAGGGTTATAACCATTATAAAACTCTAGACAATTAACAATCAGCTCCTGGGAATCAGCAGGAGATGCTCTAGCAAATCCACCACAGCGAAAACATTTTTTATGCACAATGATGAGAAGTGAAGCCCAGAATAGGTATTTGTTAGGGCAAATAAAATCAATGAAAAATGCCCTAAAACACTGCAAGGTCAGGTGAAATTCAATTTTGGTTACTGATTCTCTAAGACAGGCAAAGGCTACCCACTGTGGGCTGAGAACTGAAGTCATCAGTGTCACTGCCTCCCTGTGGCACTCTTCACAAGCCCGGGGCATGCTGTGCCTCGGGCTCTCACCTATGGCCGGTGAGCCTCCAAAGCAGTGAGCCAATCCACAGCAGCTCTGTGGTCCACCTCCCAGGACCACCAGGATCACCGAGGCTCCCCGTGAAAGTAAGCAGTCACGTGCAGGTGGTAGTCTCCTGACCACCCCTCACATCTTTGCGTGGTTTTGCTCTTTTAACTACCCTCATACATACTATCCTAAAGCAAACTTTGCTCATTTGTAAAAACAATGAATTTCAAGATAACATATTATGATGCTATTAAAATTCTTGGATGTTAAGAATTGTCCAAGTATATAAAAACTGAACACAAATACTTATGAAATATTATTTGTGACATGCCAAAAAACAAAACTGCTTATGCAAACCATCAAGACTGAATGCACAGAAAGGCCAATTGCACGTATTTAACTCCTATAGTAAAATATAAATAAATGCCTTAAGCCTCAGTTCTGTGGAGACTTTGAGACTGACTTTTAAAAAGTGAAATATTCTTTTCCCTTTCCAGTTCTGGAGAGGCCTCCTGTGAAGGAGGACACAGTGAGTGTGGGAGCCAGTACCAGTCTGCTCAATATTCCCAGCCACTGTCTGGTGCAGATTCACCTGCCTTGACTCTGCACTGCATTTGTAAAGACAACAGTCTCAGCAGCCACCACGGGATATGGAAGCATGTGTGCACCATAAAGTCCTCAAAACAAAACAAGGATAAATGAGAATCTGGTTCAATGTTAATTGTTAATTTTTTAGTTGACTGCTTAAGCTGTAAAACACTTATATTTTTAGGTTATTTAGGTTTTTAGGTTACATTTATTACTAAAATTAGGAACATTAATTATTTAATGAGAAGACTGGAAACATTTGTAGAAATTTTAAACTTGTTAAAATTCAAAAACTTTTCATTTTTAAAGGCTTTAAATCCTAAAGTCATAAGTCATCTATCTGCCAACTAAGATATGAATCTTTTTCCCCTAAGAGCTGAAGACTGTAGAATTTCACTACATTTCATCTCTTGGTCAAATCACCCTCAACCCAAATAGTTTTGTACGTCACCTTCCTTACCAGAAGATGGGATATCGACAGCATCCCGTCTTTCTACCCAAGTATAGCAGAGGAATTCAGAGATCCAGAGTCCTTCATTAAATACATCAGAAGAACTTGATAAACTCCTCTGCCAGGAAATAGCTAGAATGGAAGAGACTGGGAGTCTCTCCTTATACAAAAGACTAATGCAAGAGACTTAAATTTTTCTGAATCTTGCCACATCTGAATGCTCTAATAATCATCTATTCTCCAAACACCATCAACTCATTTTCCCACTTTTGTATAACTACTTCTAATCAACAATTATTTAAAATTAGGAAATTAGGTCAGAAATTGATACCTCTTAAAAAATTCATTTCCTAATGCCATGATGGGATGCCATCTCTGTACTACGCTGTGACTGCCAGGGAAAGGCAGTGTCATGTCCCCTTCTACTGTGCCCAGATTCTTCCCTCTGATCCTCTGTGGTCATTTTGGCTAATACCGAATCCAAAGAAAAATCAGCATCAGGCACACGGTCCACCTGGCTGGCTGGTGCCAGAGTCTGGGACTGTGACAACCACAAAAGACCCTGAGCACCACTCAAGTACTAGAGGAAAGAAGCCCAGTGGTCCCCATGAGGTATCCTAAAGCTAAGGTCCCTGTGGAAGGACACATGAGGGATGGCAAGGACACATGCGCTGATGGAATGAGACTACCTGGTATCAGGGGCACTGCTGATGGGTTTGAGTGGCACAGAGTCGCTACCACAGGGAGCCAGGCGGCCGGTGGTAGTGGTGGCAGTGGCAGCAACAGGAGCAGCAGCTGGGCTGCCATGGCTCCGCCCATCCGAAGTCACGCTCCGAGCGCTAAGACGAGAAGAAAAGCTTCAGGAACACAGGTGAGAAAGCGGATGGACTTGCAAATGGCTTTCAATTAAAAATAAAACATGAGAAGTGAAAAATATTTAAAAATACAAAATGCTGTTTGAGATTCATGTATGGGAAAAAAAGACTAATTTCAAAGGTTTTTAAAAAATAATGTGGTCCTTACTTAGCAAATCCTGTCAAATGAAATTAACTTATGAAAGTGACCACATAGGGGAGACAGGATGCTCACTACCTCAAGACGCAGAAATGCCACCACATTCAAGGACATCCCTGTGAATGTACTTGCTCCTGAACCCACTTCAGTGCTCAGCTGCTTCATAACTAGCCAAGACCGGAAAGGTCATTCCAGCTTTCTCCACTTTTACAGAGATGTTCAGTACTGTTTTCCAAATGTTTACTATGCTACGCAAACTTAAGTTTGTTTACCTAAGGTAATTTTTCAAAGACAGAAAAAGAAAGAATTATTCCAAGGCCAGAATACACTTAGTAGCTTGAGGTTATAAAGAAGCTGAGAAATTCAGTTATCTTTAAAGGTACAGGCCTGTTTTAAATTTGCATGTCTTTTTTGTTTGCAACTAAGGCTCTGTGGTATGACTTCAAGATAACACAAATAAGAGCTTTTAAGAGCATATGGACAAGACAGAAAAACATTTAGCTCTCAGGGCAAGCAAACAGTTGTTTCCAGAGCATCGCCATGCACACTAGAGAAGAAGCCATAAAGGAAATGACTGGAGGAACACCAAATACCTGAATCCCTCTGGCGTTGGGATAATTAGATGTGGGTTAGGAGGATCACTATGGCATCGAGGTACCTTCACAGGACGGGGGCTGTTCCGATGAATAGCTGCCAATGGAAATGGCAACAAATGCGATTTGTTAAAGTGGTCAATAGAAAACTGACACACCAGGCAATTATTAAATGTAAAGGGAATATCTCTTAATCTTGTCAGTGACCAAAGTAAAACCATTCAAGAGTAAAAACTTAATTACAAATATTACATCATTTTTTTTAAAGTTAAGAAAGCTATATTAAACACACAAATTTTTTTCACCAAAACCAATTTTTAAAAGATATATACTGAACAAACAAATGATTACACTCAGTTTAGAGGTAGATGAAAATGTGGCACTTCTCTAATATAAAGGAATTCTCTATGCTATCTACACTTAAAAAGATCTGGTCATGCAAATATTTCAACAGGCCCTACGCTGGGGGAGTCATTGTCACATTCTTGAGTACATGAAGTTTTATTTGATTCCTTTAAGACAAACCAAGTAGATGGAGTATAATTTAACTGTTCTTTTTTCCAGAGTATGTTCTCTTTTTCTTTTAAATATTATAGTAAAAGTTAAATACAGATAAAATTTAAAACGAAAACTTTAGAGATTTTACCTAGTGATTATAAAAATGCTGAGCATTCCATTTTCCCAACAACTATATGTAAACAGGAATGGACGTGTGTTATAATCTGTCCATCCGCACGCTTTCCTCTCAGTTCTACTCACCCTGCTTCACCCCTCCTGGAGACTGAACTCAGGGCCTCGTGCATGCTCGGCAAACGCTCTACCACTGAGCACATCCCCAGCCCTGAACTTTTAACTACCTGATTTTACCCTTCAAGTTTTGTTTTTCTATGTCATATTTTCTCTTCACACTGATAATTCAACTGAAATGGGAATCCTGTTTCTTCCTTCATGGTTTTGTTTCCTTCCTTTTAATAACATTACACAGGAGAGGTGGTAGCAAACTCAGAGAGATCTAAAATTCCCTTGTAAAAATAGCAGAACAAAAACCAAGCAACTATTAGCAGAAAGCGAAGAAATCTGAGTTTGGTTCCTTATCTCAATTATTCTAATATCGAGTAAAAGAAACTCAAATAAGTAACAAAGGTGAAAAGGACAAAAAGAATGGGGCTGGGTTGTGCAGTGGTGGAAGCTTGCCTAGCAGGCACAAGGCACTGCGTTCGATCCTTTGCACCACATAAATATAAAATAAAGATATCGTGTCCACCTAAAACTTAAGAACAAATATTTTTTAAAAAAAGGAAAAAAGAAACAATTTAATAAGGATGATGTCATTAATTCAGCAAAGACTGGGAAGTACTTAATCAAGAACCACTACAACATTTTCCCATGAAGGTATAGACATTCTGTTTTAAAAAGAGCTGGCATGCACACACACGTTTAATATTCTTCATACATGAAACAAAACATTTATTTTAAGAGTGTAAGCATGTTTATTTATTTATTTAATGTTGTGAAACTGACATTTCATTGGGAAGAAAACCCAAATGGCCAATAAAAATAAAGTAGATGTTCAAATTTCACTAGAGGTCAACATTTATCATAGAGATGTTTTCATGGCCAAAATAAAGATAAGCCCATAGAGTAGTGAAAGAATTTAGTACAACCACGATGTCTGCAGTGTGGCCAGAAGAAGATGAATTAGATCTGAACCTGTTGACATGGAATTATTTCTACATTGTCAGATGCAAAAAAGGAGAGATTAATATTCAAGATGAACACATTTTTATACAATAAATGCAGGAAAACAACCCTATAGATGCTTGTATGATTATGTCAGCAGAGAAAGGTAGGGTGGAATGTGTGCAGGTGCATGAATAAAGAGAAAACGTAGAAGGCTGCACATGAGGCTACTGTCATTAGCTGCAGCTTACAGCACAAGAGAAAGCAAGCAAGCAGCAGCAGCAACATGACAGCTGATGTGCGCTCAATTTCATTAATTTTCCTTGTCAGAGAAGAACACAAAACCAAAAGACAACTCTCACTGTGTACGGGACACTAGAGTGTTTACAAAATATTATTACCTTATTTACTCCTCGTTAGCAGCCCATTTTACACATTACAAGGGGAGACTCAAAGATGTTAAATGAAGCCCAGGTCACTTGCTGTCAGGCAATCTGACTCTGAGTTCAGTTTTACCATCCCATAGTGGCTGAGGGGACAAAGGACAACTTGAGCCTACAGCAGGCACTATTAACTGTCCCACCAACAGTTTGAAGTGACAGGCATATTCAAAGATCATGGACTCAAATACTACTGGTGATTACCTTTGCATTACGGCAACGTGAGTATTTTTCTTGTCTTTTATAATTTTTCCTACATCAAAAATTTTCCTTAATGTACATCCTCTCCATTTTTCTACATATTTTTTTCTGTTATAATTGCTTTACAAAGAAAATACTGCTTACGCAATAAAATATTTTAAAGAAGATATGTGTACTGAATTACTGAATATGGATTCTTAGAAAAATATTTTAAGAGATCAGAAAATCAAACTCTATTTATGATAACAGGCTTAAGCCAGTTTGATGGGAACACAGTGGGCTTTGTATACAGCTCAAATAATCTTACAAAAAATAATCCCCATTTTTACAATAGTCTTGGTAGAAAGAGTTTGTATAAAATAAATGAGTCTCAAAGTTTAACAACCAATGATTAACACTTGTTCTTATACTAAATTTTCTGAAGCTAGCAAGTACCCTTTAAGAAATACAGTTCATGTTCAAAAATTTACATTTATAAATTATTTTTGTGTGATTTAAATTGTATAAAAGTTTTGGGTTTTCACTTTTGGGTGCTTATATGCAAATACACTTTTGTTTTATTCAGATTGTATCAAGAATAACATGATACTTATTAGTCTCTTCTTGATATTTTGTTTTTAAAGTTTCAACATATACTGTAAAACTATATAGCCTAATAATAATTGAAAACTGTAGTTAAAGTAATGTATACTGTGCCATAACATTACTTATTCTTAAAAAAAAAAAAAAAAAAAAAAAAAAAAAAGAGAATTTACTACCAAGGAATGGGGAAATGGGTTCCTAGGAAAACTTGTGGAGAAAAATGGTTGCCACTCTTTTCCAGAGATAAGGGAAAGGGGAAGAGAAGTTATTCACCCACCTGCAGTGTCTTTTGACCTTTTCAATCTTTCCTCCCCATGAGCAAAGATTTTAAAAGGAAGAGTAGAATGGTAGTATTGATATATTTTTTTAAAAAAGAAGGTAGTTTCACCTTGCTGATTAGCAGGAAACAGCCTTGTGTTGATATTTTAATCTTCCTATGGGATTTAGAACAATTAATGTGGAATTCTCTAAATATATACCTCATTTCTATCGCTTTCACTGTCATTTCCCTAAATACTCTTAAAACATCTCACAAGATGACCTGCTCTTATCCCAACCAGTAGGCTCCAGGAGAAATGCTGGAACAGCTGTCTTACCAAGGTACAAACCTGTAACAGGACTGTGTGGCTTTCCTATGACATGGCCGATGCATTCGTTCATCAAGGCTTGTAGGCTCTAGAAACCAAAGGGAAATGGGAAAGAGAAGAGACGGCAAGTAGAGCCTGCATTACATCAGCAGTACAAGTTAGGTTTCCAGTATATTTAAGAGACATGCTACTTTGAGTAAATATTTTTAATTAATTTAAAAAAATAGGTTTAATCATAAATTAAACACAAATGAAATGTAAAAGAATATAGTACAAAATTCCATTTTTATAAATAAGCACAAATTAGCAGTCAATTGCCCATGATGCATTGATACACACAAGCAAAGGACTTCTCATGTAACCAACTCTACACTGGGAAGATAAAATAAACAAATTCACATTTTAAAGAACATTTTAAATCTGATGGAATTTATCAGAACAGTGATAATACTTAACTCGAGCATTACACTGAAGTGAAATAGCTAACCCTTACTCAGTTTATAAAATGCAGAAACTAATATTTTAGAAGTACCAGGGTTTACAAACAACTGGATACCAGATAATGACTTAATTTAACCCTATTGTGATTAAAAATAAAAGCATTTAAGATCTTGCTATGCTATTTAGAGTGTTCCAAGAACCATATTTATATAGGAAACACATAAACAAGAGAATAGAGAGTGATTGACTTTTTTTTTTAAATTTTTTTTCTTTGTAGTTGTAGATGAACAGAATACCTTTATTTTATTTATTTATTTTTTTATGTGGTGCTAAGGATCAAACTCAGTGCCTCACACATGCTAGGTAAGCGCTCTACCACTGAGCTACAGCTCTAGCCCCTCAATTTGTTTCTTAATGAAAGAAAATTATAGACTATTCCATACCAAGAAGTCATCTTCTGGCAGAGCTGAAATAAAGGCAGGTTCAATGGCTTGCAGAAAATCAAATCCTTGAGTTGCCCACCTGTCACATGAAAATGTTCAATAATCACAAACCCACCAAGGAAACGCTACAGCAGTCTCATATTACATGATAATGGAAAGTAATATAACTGGAAAATTACTCTTTAGAACAAAATACATGTTTTATCTTTATACAAATGCCTGTGTTGAGTAAGTTTATAGTAAAAGTTTTCTAATAGTTAACAGGATTTCCTAAGTATAGATTTTCTTTTCTTTTCTTTGTGGGTAGGGCAGGTAATCAGGGATAGAACTCAGGGGCACTAGACCACTGAGCCACATCCCCAGCCCTATTTTGTATTTTATTTAGAGACAGGGTCTCACTGGGTTGCTTAGTGTCTTGCTGTTGCTGAGGCTGGCTTTGAACTCTCGATCCTCCTGCCTCAGCCTCCTGAGCTGCTGGGATTATCGGCGTGCACCACTTAGGCGTGCAGCCTAAGTATATATATTCAGTAAAACAACAACAACAACAACAAAAAACTGATCACTATCAAGTTTAGAATCCTCCTTGTTACACCACCTGCTCCAAAACTTCATATACCATATAGGAACAAAATACCACCAACCCTAGATGACTCATGCAGAAGGCATGCTTCTGGGACATTACCTGGGTCTTGTACCTCTACCACTCTCACATTTAGTCAGGACATAATTCATCCATTTCCGGGCAAAGCTTATGTATTTGTCTCCTATCTTCTGTCTGAACTCTCCAGACATCAAACGAACAACTTCTTTATGGTACTGTAAGAAGATTTCAAGTATATCAAAATTATAAAAAATTTATTATAGTAATGCCTACACACTATAATGTCATGTCTGCTAAAAATGTCATTATCTAAAACCAAAAAGTAAAATCCAATTAAATCTTTATATTCTGAACTGCATGAAGAATTAGTGTCTAAAAATGCAGTATCATAAAGGCTTTATTCATAAGCTTATATTAAGAAGTATGTGTTTATCATATTAAACATCTCTTAAAGTTTTAAAATGTAGTAGAAAGCTGTTAAAACAAAATAAAAACCAGGCAATTATCTAACAATTTAAAAGTCAACTAAAATTTCCAATATTTGGCAGCAACGTACAGTAATATTCTTGGCTAAACTATGATTACAACAAATAAAGTTTGTTGTTAAATGAGTCTTAATACTTCTGTAAGTAACTTACAAAGCAGTTACTAAAGTATACTACATTGTTCCTCTTATTTTACCTACCTCAAACCCAAAATTGTACCCCTGAATCATTGCTTCTCGGTAATACTGCTGCAAGGTGACAGATTCAGATTCATCAACTTCGGCATCAAACTCGGAGGTGAACATGTGGTCTACTCGGTCAATGGCATCACTTATTCTGTTGCAGAGCTCTAGTGCGTCATTCTGAAGAGTGCGAAGTCACGATGGACACAAAATGAAGCAAATCATACATTACTTACTGCATTTAAAAAGGAATGCTACATTCATCATCACACTGACATTAACTACCACAACACATTACGATCACATTTAGTTAGCAAAAGAAATCACTGAATACAGAGGGAATTATATTATTTTCATTTTTATTTGTACTTGGCATTCTTTAACATTTTATAAAACACAAAAGGAAAAAAATCCACTTAAAATGATAATGCCTAATTACAATCTGGTCTTTGAATAGGTGCCGGTGTCTTCAGTATTTCTGTGTATCAACCACCAGAAATGTTACTGGCACTGCCTGGAGATATTTTTGGTTATTAAAATGGAAGGAAGTAGAATTTAATAGCATATGGTGGGCAGAAGCCAGCAACGCTGCTAAACATCCTCCAATGCACAGGACACACCCTACAACAAGTAATTATTTTCCCAAAATGTCAGCAGAGCAGATGATAAGACACAGACTAAAACAAGCTTTAATTGACTCCACAGGCAATATCACAACAGCTTCAGAATGCTCTCCCTTCCCACCCGTCCTTACACACACCTGTGTGCACACAGAATCCATCAGACAACTGCCCCCATATATGGTTACAAAAATATATTTCTCAAATCATCAGCATTTCCCTGAAGCTAAGAAAATAAAATGGTTTTCACCCAGCATATTTCAACAGCCTTACCTGCTACTGTTACTTTCCATTGCATATACCAAAATCCAGCCAAATTAGACCATGCGATGGTCAGCACATATCCACCACCCTGAGCCGTGGACACACATGCCCAAATGTTCCTTCCTGATTTGCATCTTTTGAAACCCTTCAAGTTGCTGTTACGGGGCCCTAAGCCTTCAGGCCTGTGGTAAGTTTTTAGGTCCTTAGGGTATAAACTCCCCAAGTTCAAGAATAATCAGCATCTCATAAAATCCTCACACTCCAGAGTTCATCCGCTCAGACTAAAATAAAAGACAAAAGTCTCCCACTCTGCCACTGGTGTGAGACTACAATTTATAAAAGAGAATTATAGATAAATAAGACAAGTCAGATTGGAAGGGAAAAAAGCAAATGTCTTTCAAATGATTTGTCTTGTAGTTTCAGGGTTTACTTCTTTAAGAAATCACACCTTACTGTGACTGAGAAGACATAACTGATGGCTTGTGGGAAAGTGTAGATGAGACCAGGACTGATAAATGCGTACAAAATAGAAAGTGATGAAAACAGAAAAAAAATGGGAAAAGAATACAGGCTCTGGCTTGCCACAGACTTTGAAGGCCTTTGTGCCCATGTACAACTGATTATTTTCCCTATTATAGTTAATTTGGCTGAATCATTTGTTCCTTTTTGAGGGAGAGGGGTTACTGAGGATTGAACTTGGGGCCCTTGAACTGAGCCACCTCCCCAGTCCTATTCTGCATTTTATTTAGAGACAGGGTCTCACTGGGTTGCTTAGTGTCTTGCTGTTGCTGAGGCTGGCTTTGATCCTCCTGTCTCAGCCTCCCAAACTGCTGGGATTATAGGCATGTGCCACTGCGTCCTTGGGATGGCTAAATCTTTTGTTAAACAAAGGAATAAATAAATCTTCCTTTAGATTACATATCATTGATATGGAACTCTGGTAGTAAATCCTGGAAATTGCTAAAAAAGAAATTAATGTACATTAGGAATGAAGAGACCTAGAGTCCAGCTTCAACTTTGCTACTCAGCCATGTGACCATTATGAATTCACTTAACTGCACGATTTTCACTCCTTTCCAATTATAAATTTCCTCAGTTCCAGAAAGGGTTGATATGAGGAAAAGTGTATATTGGGGAGGGAGGGAGAATGGAGGGCAACTTCAGAGCTCCTGTTCCCCAAATAACATTATGTCACGTCTCTCGACTCTTCCACAGCAGCATGCCCAAAGATAGTCATCAGAGCCGGGGAAGGGAGAGGAGGCGCAGTACCTTGAGCTGCTGCAAAGCTCTGGCAATGACTGGCTGACTGGACGTTTGTTCCTGGCGTAGAGTCATAAGCCCCTCAATGGACTGCTGGAAGGATTTTCTGTGCATCGTGAGATGAGCTGACTGCATGACAACTAGTAAAAGATTGTCCACCTAGGAGGGAAATCAGACACAGGGTATGACAAAGACCAAAGGCTGCTTTCCCACTCTAGTTCAAACCTCATCCAAAAGCAATGTCAACCCCACGGCCACCAGGTCAACAACCACCTGACCAGAGAGTCACAGGCAAGCAAAGTTGCTCTCATAGAGCAACACTCTGCAGTGGGCAATGACGTCCAGGTTTTCCCGCACAGTGGAGAAGAACCCACCGCACTGCGCAGGCCTGCAGTGTTGACATAGCTAGACCTCTGTAGTGTGGAGTGTTGGGGGTGTGAACATGGGCTCTGGAGCAGCATGTCAAGGTGGAAAATGCAGGAATAGGACCAGGATCAGATAAGGGGGCTTGTGTGAATCATTTAAGAGATCAAAACTGTATTATTATTATTATTTTGTCTAACAGAAATCGTCACTGCCGTATTTGAAGTTCACTGTTACAACCATCATTCTCAAAGTTCCAAAACAACCAACCAATACAGAACTGAAGAACAACAGTGAGCCTGAAAGGAGGAAAACTAAAAGAAACTATAACCACTTAGGAAAGGGACGACGACTTTCTGAGTGTGACAGTAGCCCTGAGGAAGCAGGGAAAGCATTACTTACTGGATACACTTCTGGTGTGTCGGGGCTAGTGATTAACTGCAAGTGGGGAAGCTAGATTTATATTACCTGTCATGCTCCTGGCTTAAATGAGTGGGCAGCCTGCACCATCTCCTCACCTGGGGAGACAGGGCAGGTCTATGGGCCGGAGGGAGACATAATGAAAGTGACTGCGTTCTGGTCAGGCTGACTAAGATGCACACGGACACTCCTATCTCTGTCCCTAAGCTGGACTCAGGTAACATGGGAAGCTCCTTAAAGTTAAAATCAGGGTGCATATAAACTGACTGGGATCCTTATTATATGAGCAGGAATAGCCATTGCTATAAAAATAATTAAATAATCAGTAAGCCAGAATACTTAGGTTACTGGAATTTCTAGAATTAGAAATTAAATTACTGAGATAATTCTTTTAAGACATGGGTCTCTAGACCTAACTACCTGAACTAAGGAAAGGCATAAATAAAACAGATGTATCATTTCAAATATTCCAGTATAATGTAACATAATTATAAAATTTAATGGAACATTTCAGTACAAATTATACTGAAAATTACCAGTAGAACATTGAAGCACTCTTTTGGGAAACATATTCTTGAGCAAACCAGGGCAGTTAAATCCATCATGGGCTAGTAAAAATTCATTTTTCTGAAAGCATTTTAAGTAAATAAAGTAGCTAGAAGGTGGGGGCTCAGAGAGTGGACGTGGGACCTGGAGTGAGACTGACCTGCATACTTCTCAGGGTATCCACGGTCTCCACCTGAGGCACTAGCTTAACAGGCTGTGCGTCCCAGGTGCCCCAGCCACCATCTGAGTCCCGGGCCCGGTCACTGGGCTTGGTCAGAAGCAGATAGGCGTCCACGAGCACGTCGTCTGGGTCCTTTGCACAGTCCTTCCCCGCAGCGGCATCGAGCAACTGCAAGACGATGCTCTTCTCCTCCGCCAGAGAGTCTGGAACAAACACTTGCAAGTTCTCCAAGCCAGGAATCTGTACCTAGAAAAGAAATGATCTAGGCTTATGCATTTACAGAAATCTGTTATTTAAAAAAAAAAAGAAAAACAAAAGCAGGTTCAGGGACAGGATTTGGGAAAGACAAGAATGTGAGCAGTATGGGGAACAGCAAGCAACTGAGGTCAAAGTGACGGAAAGAGAAAGTCTGGGAATGGACTGGGGGAGGTCCTTTCAGTCTCTCCAGTTATGGGACATCTTTTTATTGTTCAATTTTCAACCACAAAATACTCCTGGGAGGGAATGGAACAACTTCAGTCAGCACTGGTGTGTGAAGCTTTTCAAGTCACCTGATGCTCTGCTGGGGGTCAACATCACCCATCATTTTAACAAGGGACAATAATGTGGTGCTGTATGAGCCACACATCCCACACATCCCTCGGTGTGGCATAACATTTCCAGTAACAATAACATATATAGATTCCAAAGTACTAAATCTCAAGCAAAGGGAAGTAAAGATGGTGACTCAAAAAGTGGTTCTAGTGATAATCCGGACCGGACACCAACATCAAAGATCCATGTAAAAACTTCAAGCTGCTTCAGGAAAAGTGAGGGTGAAAAAGCCACTATTAAAAATCAAGGTTATCTTTTCATGTACATTATTTTAACCAAGTAGTATGTGTAAATATTTGATTACTTATCTGCATTCTTAAGATATGTTAAGTCAAATAAGAAGTGTTTTTCTAATTTTCACTGGGAAATTATGGGGCAGTTCTATAATGAGGTGAATGTATGGCCTCCAAAGCCTAAAATTTTCATTATCTGGAACTTTTTGTAAAAGTATGCCTATTTTAGAAAAAAGAATGAAAGGCAAAGTATTTCAAGTATACTTATTTACCTTCACGTACTGTTTTGCTTTTAGAACATCTAGTAGGTTTCTAACCGGGGCTGAGAGAATAAATTCTGCTGCTATTTCCAGGTCCTAGGATCAGTTACAAAGAAACTTCTTTAGTATTAGCTTTCTTAAAAGTAAGATAAAAGAAAAAATTTAAAAAAAAATAAAGGAAAGTAATCAGGTTTGCAAACTCACCTTCCTCAACATTTTAGCAAATCCAAGTGCTTTTGAGGCTCTTTCTCTGGCTTCGTGGAAAAGCTCCTTGAGTGCCCGACTGATCTCTATAACAGACCTCCTGCCAGCAGATCAAAGCCAGGTCAGAAGCCATCAGGTGTGCCCCAGACACAACAGCATGAACAACAAAGATGAAGCAAATCCCAAGTCACAGTAACAAAGACTGCAGGCGTTTTCAATGGGAGCAAGCCATTACTGTGAACGTATACATAATATGGAGAAGCTGGCTACTCGGTTTGGTTTTCTGGATGGGCATGTGTGCAGCTCCTGATTCAATCCTGGGCAAGCACTCCACCTCTAAGCTACATCCCAGCCCACTCCTTAGTTTTATAGGAAGTACTCATGTCCTTTAAATATATGCAGGATACCTTCAAGTAATAATAGGTCAAATTCCTAAAGGTTTCATTGATAATTTCTTGGAGTTTGAGATAAGTACAGTCTGGTAAATGTCTAACAACTGGCTCTGCAAAAGCATGGTGGCATGTAACACATGTCCATCTGTGAGGTGTAATGCTCCCACTGTGGAGGATCTCAAGGCAGCAGTGAGACTCCACAGAGCAGTGCCTCGGAAGGGATGTGCACAGTCAGTTGAGGCAAGCCAGTTTCAATGCACCACTGTGCATAAAGCTCCTATTAAATCCATCCCTAGTGAACAATTAGAGCATCATAAAATGTTCTTGAACTCTTATGTTTATTTAAAATCTATGATATTAGATCTCAAAACTACAAGACCTATAAACTGACGCATTCTATTTCTCAACTACTCAATTTGGTTTCCCCAGGTGAGAACGTGTGTGGGAACCCCTTTCTTTAACCTTGGCATAGAAACATCCCAGGTATTTTGAAACCCAAAACGTGTTTTGCATCAAACTTTGGGTGGTGAGAGACAGAAAACATTCTAGTTCTGGAGAGCCAGTTTCATTTGAGCATTAGCTAAGACTGAATTACATATGACTGATATACGGCCACAAAACGGCTCGATGGCAGATATATATGCCACAAATAGCAATTTCAATGGTTCATCACAAATAGCGTCTGCATAGAACTGGAGGAAATTCAACAGGGGAGTAAACCATGATTAATTATATTTAAGCTTAAAGTTAGCTTAAAGGAGAAGCTAAATTTATCCACTGTCATTAACACATACCATGCACTGCTACAGAAGTTTCAAAAGACAGAAACATAACATCTAATTAAAGACATTCCAGCAATTGTGGATAGAGATCACTGATTCTACTCATTTTTAGTCAACTTCATCCTTTACTCTAAAGGTATTATTTTCATTATGTGAAATAAACTCTTAAATTCACTTTCAAAAAATTTCTCACATGAAACCATAACTAAGAGACATAAAAAGACATGACAGTAAGAAGCAAGTCCCGCTAAGTCTATTGCCCAAACTCCTCCAGCCCGACACATCTGGGTCTGAACGAGGCTCCCGCAGGCTCAGCACTGACAGCAGAACTGAGAGGAGAAATGGAGCAGGAAGGAGCACAGCTCTGACCTTATTTCATCTGAGGCACTGCTGTCGTCAGCACTGGTCCAAAACTCGGCACAGCTCTCCTGCAAGCCAAATTCCAGAAAGCTCCCTGTGGATTTCAGCAGCATCCCTGCGATGTCACTAAGGGAACAAAAATAACAAGAATAAAACTGGGAAGAAAAATCTTCCTAAAACTAAAAGGCTCAGCTACTACTATAATAACTTAAAACTCAACAATGAGAATTTTTCTTCTAATATAAAATAATGATTATTGTGAAAAAGTTAAAATCTAAATTATAACACATACCTATCTTTGTTTTATTACCCAATTATTTCATCACAAACCATAAAATTTTATAATCTTTTTTGGTTGTTGTTGTTACCAGGGATTGAACCCAGGGGTGCTTAACCACTGAGTCACATCCCCAGCCTTCTTTAGTTTGGCAGGGCCTCACGAAGTTGCTAAGGACCTCGCCAAGTTGCTGACGCTGGCCTCGAACTTGTGATCCTCCTGCCTCAGCCTCCGAAGCCAACAGTCGTGAGCTACCACACCCAGCCTTATGTTATATCCCTAGTGGCTGTGTGATTATTACACAAATGTTATTTCCATCTTAAACAAATGTTACAAAATGTTATGAAATGACAAAAAATGTCAAACTAAACGATGGGATACAAAAGCAAAATGAATTACTTCAATGCAACTGTTTTTTGAATTTCCCTCACAACTAGCATTCTATAGTTGACAAACATGAAATACTCTATATAGCTGATCCTTCTCATTGAACACACCATCTAAACACTAATGTTAAAATGAACACCCAGTAGTCAAAAAAATCTAAATGAATATAATAAAACTTCAACAACTGTCTAATGACCTTGATACTGTTCAAGGAAAGGCACTTATCACCTAGCAAAAGAAGGCAGGGAGGCACAGGACTTGTAGTAGATGTGGTGGACGGCAAGTGCGAGGGTTGCTGTCAGAGAAGGACCAAACCCAGCTGAACGCAAAGCTGTTTCATGGCCAGAAAGCCCTGCAACCACCTTGCACAAGTGTCTAATATTAACAGGGAGAAAAGCAGGAAGAGGGGGTCTGTCAGAAGGACAGACAGGCGGAAGCCAGTTCAGGAAGAACAACAAACAGGATCACGCATGGAGATGTGTCGAGCAGAGGCATGTTAGTGAAAAGGAAACCGCCCAGCCAAGAGGAGCAGAGGCTGCTCATGCCACCAAGGGTCAAAGTGAGACTGGGACAGTAAATGGGGCCATGCTGGGAAGAGCCTTGGATGTCACACTACTTTATTTGATCATTTGTTGGACAAGTAAGTGGGCACCAAAAATCTAAGTAGGAAAGGACCCGATAGACACATGCTTTTAAAAAGAATATCATACAAGAATATTCAGGGTGGATTTGCTCAACAGTGACTGAATGCCTATTATTTATTAAGAAGGAGTAAACAAAAATAGGAAAAAAGCCCTCCGGTGGAGAGAGATAAAAAATAAAATAGATCGTATTTCAGATTAATAATCACTACTTTGGAGAGAGAAAAAAGCTAAGGAGTCCTTATGGGTAGAAACTTTGATTTAAAATAGGCTGAGAAGGTAACATTTGAACAAAGACCTGAAGGAAGTGGGGAAATGAGTCATGAAAATATCTGGAAGAGCAGTCCATGGAAGAGGACCAGCAACTGCAAAGGGCGGTGGCAGGAGCCAAGCCCAGCCTATGAGAACAGAAGGTAGGTCAGGTTGGACATGCAGGAAGCAGAGTCTAGGAGGAGATGAGGGCCAAGGTCCGTCAGTAAGAAGGCAGACTGTGGCCAGCCCCAAAGGCCACTGTCCAGGCATTCTCACTAGACTGAGAGCCACGGGAGTGTTCAGAGATGGCCTGCTGTGCCACGTAACAAGGTCCATCTGATTCTGGTGAGGTGCAGGCAGAATAGGGAGGTGATTTAGAGAGTACTGCCCTGACATGTGAACAATGCCAGCTCAAGAAGAGCAGGGGCAGGAGTGTGAGCAGAGGTCCAATTCTGCATGTGTTCTCAGGGCCAGCCAAAAGGACCAGAAGCCGCACATGTTCAAGAAAAAAGTGAGGGTGGACCGCAGAGCAGAAGCTGTGGCTCCAGTACGGCAGATGCAGTGGACTGCAGACCTGGGACCCCGAAATGGGCAGTCCACACAAGGGGCAGCAGGGAGGACAAGGAGCCTCTCAGAATAAGGAGTGGGAGGCAATAGCCAGAGCCTGGGCTCAGAGCATCTGAAGGACAAGCAGAAGACAAAGATACAAATGCTGAAAGGAAGAAATGAGGGTGCAGTAAAAATTACATATTTCTAGTGTAACTAGCAGGAACCTATTCAAAATTTTCTTCAACAAAGCTTGATAGACTGGAAACAGCAACAACAAGCAGAAAATACAAAATATAACATAAGTTATAGGCAAAGCACAATTAAGGGAAATAAAGTGGGAGGGGGACTGGGGGGGGCAGTGATGCTGAAAACAGCAAGGAGAGCCTTTTTTAAGAAGGCCGACTATGGGAAAGCCTGCCTGGGGACCACAGCCTGAAGCCCAGGAGCGAGGAGAAAAGAGCAAGTTCACTGCTCAGAATAAAATGGGATGTAAGAAGACCTGACAATCCAGGCAGAAAAGTGGATAAAAGATTCTGAGACATCCAAATGGAACAGAGATGGGTGGAGTCCAGATCAGCCAGGAGCTGGAGTCAGAAGCGCACCTGACATGGAAGTTAAGGGGCTAGAGCATGACAGGAAGGAGCGAGGGTGTACGTGACTTATGAAACGAAGCAGAAGAAATACCAACATATAAGCAATGGGGAGAGAGCACCAGGAGACACCGACAGGGTCCAGAGCACAGGAGAGTCCCGAGCTCACCTGAGTCAAAGCAAGTCAGACTGGAGTGGCCACTGGCAGAGTCCTCTGAACTGCAGCCTGGGCTCAACAGTGTGGGCCTGACCCAGGAGGAAACGCATTCCTACAACAGACCAGTGCTGTGCTCCCTCCTGCAGACCGTCCTGGTTTCTGTCTATATGCTTTCATCAAGCATAAACCAGTTATGAAGAGATGTGTGATTAGGCTAAATTACCAAAAAACTGTCAGTGGAAATACGTAAGTTCTGACTGTCCCCACCACAACTGAAACACCCAGGTCTATTCTACCCTTGGAGCACTTCCTTCCTTTTATTAAAATGATATAACAAGACAAAAAAAAAAAAAGAGGGTTTACCCTAAAGCAGGATTTCTCAGGTTCTAAATGGATACTTTGGGTGGATAACTGCCTGCTGTGGGGCCCGTCCTGTGCAGTGCAGGATGTCCAACCCGGCTTCTGCCCACCAGGTGCCAGTATTATGTCCTCCAAATGTTGACAATCAAAAATGTCTTCATATTGCCAAATGTCCCCAAGGGTCAAAATCAACTCTGGTTGAGCACCACTATTCAAAACTTAGAAGAGGGGCAGGTACATTACAGGTATGAATGATTATAATTTTCAAGTAACTGAACATTCAAACGTGTGAAAGAGACTCCACGGGCAAACCAGGAGAAGAGTGAGAAAGGAAAGAAGCCATACTGTGAAGCAGAAAGATTCCTACCAGAAGAGTTTTCCAGCCTGTGCCTCTCCTCCCCGTATGTAATGAGTTATTTCTTTGGTGAAATTCCATTCTTCTTCTAACAGATTTTTTAAACTATGGGATGCTTGAGGTAATTGCTGTAGCATTTGGATCCAGCTTCTCATGTAATCAAAATATACCTTAAAATACAAAAATATAAAAGGAGATATTTGAGAGTAAATTCAGCAATCCACATCTTCACCTCTATTAACATAAAAGATACTAATCAGACAGGCATGTCAAAAGGGACTGTGGAGAACATGAGACACAGAGGCGAGGTCTTTGCCACATAAGCTAAGGTCTAGGGTAGATCGTTTTTAAAACTGTATAACTCTTCAGCAACTTCACACATCATCCACATCCCTTTACATGCCTAATAACTAAAAAATTCACAATGTACAGGAAAGTACAATAATAGGGAAAACAGCACTTGGAAATGTTCATTATGGTACCGGGAATAAATTTATTAAAGTATGTTGTATTCACATACAAATATATGAAACACAAATCCTACTGTTACATATTTTTATAATATAATCAATAAAAAAATTTTTAAAAAGAAATCTTCATGATGAACAAACATAACTGTGGTTCCCGTAGGAGAGTAGGATCTTTGCTGGTTTCACTGTTCTTTTTAGCTGGGGGCAGGTGTGCACTGAGGCGGACATGCCGCACCTCCCCTACCTGATGCCCCAGATTTGTGTGGCCTAACTTCCCAAGGTTCATTAAACAACTTAAGATGTATGATCAGACTATCAGTTGTCCTGAAGTGGGTCTGTGCCCACCACCACTTCTACTGCGGCAGCCCGCCAGGCCTCAGCCCTCCTTTGACTGAGCTGCTGGGTGGGAGAGTTTTACCTACAAGCAGTTTTTCTCAAGACAGGCTCACAGAGGCTGTTCTGACCTCAAGAGCACACCCAAATCACACTCTCTCCCTCAGGACACCTTCTGACACGGAGTGGGACATTGCCATGAGGCCTGATGCCCAGCTGCCACGTTGCTCTCGACTGCCGAAGGTGACTTGCCTCCTGCACTTAGGAGTTCCCAGGATTCTTTCTCTACCTTCAAGTTCAGTTTTTTCACAGACTACAATGTAAGAGTTCACTCTCTTTTTGTTTCTCCTCAGAACCAGTGATAACTTTCAGTCTGTGGATTGCAAATCTTTCCTTCATCTCAAAACAGCATTCCTCTGCTGCATTTCTGAAGGCTTGGGTCCCCCACCATCCAGCTGTACAGTGGTGCTCTGCAGGCCTGGGGCCACTCGACCAGAGCCGTGTGTGACCCACCATCTTCCCAGAAGAAGCGAATTTCGCACACTCCGGTGCTCCCTCACCTCGTGGATCTCCCCTCACACCCAAGGGCTGCAAACAGCTGGCACCCCCACGCTTCCTCACCGCAACTTTCAACCCACTACTCTTCCACATTCTCACTTAAAAAGCTCAACAAAAGAAAGACTCTGCCCCTTGAAGGTTTAGGTTCCAGCTGTACCATCAATTCCGTCTTCACCTGTCATCACCGACTTCCAATCTGCCCGCTTCAGACCTGTCTGTCAGCTCTGGCCTGACCTTCGTAGTCCCCACCCTGTTCAGGCTCAGCACCATGCTGTGACTTCGACTCTGCTTCAGTTCAGCCCCCTGGCTTCCTCCTCCTCCAACAGGGCCTCCCTCGTGTCTCACACCAGAACTGCCCAACCTCCCAGGACCAAGCCAACACTCTGAGGCCCTGCCTCCTCCCCTCCTTCAGTTCATTTGTTCACTCACTAACACAACTTCCCACCAAGCAACTAGCCGCCAGAGTCCACAGAGCCTGGTCTTTCTCCAACTCACAACCCCCTTCCTGGGTCCACTTTCCTTGTCAGCTGCTCCCACAGGCCCACTCCTCAACACCACTCGTCAGTATGCTGAAGTCCGTCACTGCTTTTCATCTCACTGCTTGTTAAGACCCCACTGCCAGCCAAAGCACAGCTAGGCCATTCCCTGTGTCCACACTGAGAAGCTGAGAGCCACCAGGAAGCCACCTGTCAGGAAGTCTCACTGTTCTGCTCAATCACAATCGCCTACCACACTACATCCAGCATTCCTGGTGATCGTATTTATTTCACTACTCATTTTTCATCTCTCTACAACCATCGTTTAAAACTCGTCCGTTTCCTCAACCCACTAATACTGCCGCCCCCATTCTCAGCAGAGGAGCTCATCTCTCTTAAAAAAAGAACAGGGGGTTGGGGTTGAGGCTCAGTGGCAGAGCACTTGCCTGGCTGTAGGAGGCACTGGGTTTGATCCTCAGCACCACATACACATAAATAAATAAAAATAATGGTGCATCAACAACTAAAAAAATAATTTAAAAAAAGCCAGAAGTCATTAGACATAAAATCTCTCAGCCTCCTAACACCAAAAATGCAAATGTGCACATATACTCCCCGCCTTCTTTACAATGAGCTGCTGTTCCCCCTCATTTCAAAATCTGCATCGTGACACCCATCTCTTCCTGAAATCAGCACAACTTCCTAGCACAGACTTTCCCTCTGCACACGTGGGTATGTGCACACACACGCATAAATGTTCATCTCTCCCCTTATCAGAGTCAATCCCAAAGGCTGTCAATGCTCACAGGCCAACTTAAGAAGCAAGCTCTTACTGGATCCAGTCTTCACGATTCACCTGGCTACACCATCTGGCCCCAGCAGTCACTCTCGGTGACCCACCCTATGTCCCTCCAATTTCACACTTTAAAATTGAATTCTTACACTTCTTTCTCGATACACATTATGCACTCTAACCCAAGCACTCCCACATGCAGCGCTAGGGGCCACCTGGCGCTGGATCCTACAGCTGCTCCGGCCTCCAGCCCTCTCATCACTGCAGCCAGAGGCCTCTCTTCACTGTTTTCCTTGGGAACCTTCGTTCCTGCCACACCCCTTCCCAACACAGAGAGCTGGCATCTGCTGCCTCCTGTCGGAAAAGTGTTTATTTCAGTCTCTTTTTCATTGCTTCTGTTAGAAAGTTAGGAGGCCAAAAAACAATCTAACAAATATCACCTAGAACAACAAATATTAATATTTGGTCATATTGTTTCAGAAATTTTTTCTGTAAGAAGATACCAGAAAGTTAATTCTCCTTTCTCTCTCTTCATTTCTCTATCCTTCTTCCCCAGAGGCAATAAATATCATGAATTTAGTATGTTTCTTTCCAAGTCTGTATGCTTTACAAAACAATCTGTCATTACACAGATGACAACATATATTATACCTTTGGGTATTTTTAAAATTTTTTACATAAATTGAGTTATACTGGATGTATCAACCTTCAGATAAATCCCAGTGTCCCTTTCTCAAGAGAATCCTTCCTTTACCTTCACACAATCTCAAATCGTACCCTCAGGGTCCACAAAAAACCTGGGCCTCTCCTTTGTAGTATTTTTCACAGCTGGAATTTTTCACGCATGATTAGATAATAACCAATCTACCCATCACTCCAAAACTCTAAGTCTGCACTCATCACTGAATCCTCAGTACTCTACAAGACACCCGGCACACAATAGACATCCAATAATTAAGGTGCAGAATGAAAAATTTTTCCCTGCTCCTTAGTTCTTTATCCTTCTGCAGAAACCCTGTGTACACATGGGCTCTTTCTTGTATCTTCTGCAACTACACTTCTTGTTCCTCACTTTCACATTTTCCTTTTGACTTCTCTTTATGTGGTGTTATGGTTTGGCTGTGAGGTGTTCCCCAAAAGCTCATATGTGAGACAATGCAAGAAGGTTCAGAGGGGAAATGATTGAGTTTTGAGAGGCTTATCCCAAGCAGTGAATTAATCCCTTGAGAGGACTCACTGAGTAGCAAATGAAGTGGTAGGGTGAGGCAGGAGAAGGTGGGACTTGAGGCATGGCTTTGGAGTATATGTTTCTATCTGGCCAGTGGAGACCTCTCTCTCTGCTTCCTGATCACCATGTGAGCCACTTCCCTCTGCCACAGTCTTCTGCCGTCATGTTCAGCCTCACCTTGAGCCCTGAGGAATGGAGCCTGCTGTCTGTGGACTAAGACCTCTAATCCGTGAGCCCCCAAATAAATTTTTCCTCCTTTAAAATTGTTCTGGTCAGATCTTTTAGTCACAGTGGGAAAAAAAGTTGAGTAAAACTCGTGGTTTGTTTAGGTCAAGCACAGGTCCTTCCACCGTCCGTTCCCTGCCCTGGTTACTTCTGAGCTAGGGGCCTGGCAATGAGCTGAGGCAGCTCAGCTTCAGTTAGGTCTGTGGCCTCAAACCCTCACCAAGTCCTCTCCTTGGACCACAGACACACAGTAAGCGCCTCAGTTTCTAAGCAGAGAGGACGCTGTCACACACTGTAACAACCCTGAGTCGTGGACTTTCTGCATAGTAACTTGCTGATCCCTGCCCCCGCACTTCAGCAGCGCTCCCATGGGCAGCTCTTCTGGGCTGGCAAGTTCAGTGGGAACACTGAGCATCTCACCACTGCAGCCTGTGTCATGTACACATCTTTAGTCAACAGCAGAGCTCCACAGGGACACCACGGCTCCAGACTCTCCAGGTCTAAGGTGGGAAGTACTCAGAGCCTGCATCTGCTCTGGTTTAGTCTACATTTCAAGGCAAATAATTCCATCAATCTTTTTAATTTGTGGGATGGTGGTAAAGGAATGGGTACTGTTGCAAATTTTCTCCTTTTCTGAATATGGAATTTTTTTTCTTCTCTTTTTGGTGGGTTTCAAGAGAAGGGTACCGGGTAATTAAGAGCTGACTGCCTACCCAGGAGCTATTCTCTCCTTCCTTCCTAACAGAGACAATGATTTTTGTTTAGGTTCCCCCAGTCTTCTAAACATTCCCCTGATTTTTCTAGCACACTACAGGGCACAATTTTAAAACCACTGGTAATTTCCAGTTTTTTCATCTATGACAGTACACATACTGACTCATGCAAATCATGGACAGCAAAGTGAAAACTAAACTGTTGCTCCTCACCTGGCCCCACCCCATGCCCATCACAGGGCACAGGTACCTCTGGAAGCCATCAGAAACAGCTCAAGAAGCAAGGAACTTTTTTTTTTCAAAAACTTTCATTTGATTGTCCATGGAAAGCAACAACAAACAATTATGTGTTGCTTTTTACCACAACTTTTCAATAATAAAAATTTTTCTGATGTAGGAAATAGATATTACTTCAAAATATAGCCATTTGACACACACTGGTCTTTCATGTATTCTAGCCAATTAGAAAATAATCTCAATTACATCATAATTACTTGTCATAAATACCAGATTATTTTAAATTCCATTCCCTGGCACCTCCTTCATTTTCTACTCATATTAAGGTTGAAAAGCTGTTTGACATGTGAATTCCAAGCCTCCACTGACAGAACGAGGCCACGCCACAGCCTTGCCACTGAGAGAAGGAGAAACATGCTGGGTGAGCTCTTGCTGCTGAGGCAAGGCTTGCACTGGTTGGCAAGGGACTCTGGCTTTTTTCTTCCAACGTAGAAAACAGGGGTGGTTCCTGGAGGTGCTGTAGCCAGCCTGAACAGGACACAGTGGAACCAGCAAGAGTGAGAGACCCTCCAAAACGACACCCTCCAAGCAGCAGTTTTCTCATGATTTCACCACCCTGCCAGGATCCAGGCTCACCCATGGCCTTGCCCTAGAGACTCCAACACGCACATGCACATCAACACTCCACCGCACACTACGGAAGACAGAAGCATGTCAAGCTACAACCCTGGGTCAGGAAGCTCCCAGTCCAATCAGGGAACCCTGAGAAGAGACTGTGCTTACGATAGGTTACAATACAGTTCTCACAGTAACTGTGAAGAGAGTTCAAAGAAGGTACAGAAAGGAGGCTAGAAAGGTTAAAATTATCAGATAAGTTTTCTGGAGAAAAATAAACTCTGAAAGTAAGTCTGAAGTAGCTTTAGTTAAGGAGGAAGGATGAGGAGAAAGAAAAACAGTTCTATTAGAAAAAAATAATATAAACAAGGGTCCAAAGATCAGAAACACAGGGCAAGTATGATTCGTATGAGAAGACTGGGCCCCAGGGTAAAACAGGTCCACTCTTGCTCCATCAAGTCGTTTACAAATCCTCAATGTGCCACTTCATTGAGGAACTCTCCTTTCATCTTTGAGCCTTAGGATCCTTGTGGTAAGCTCCCTTTAGACATCCCCAGAGGAGTTCGAGGGTTCATCTCAGCATACCTGTACCCCAGAGCTATGGACATGTGGGGGTGGAAGTGTGCACCCTGGCCAGTCTTCACCAGATCCCTTTCTTGCTCTGCTGTACTATTTCCATAGCTATGAGAGGTCCCTAGCCCTGTACCAGGAATTACCAAAAGTTCTGCTAACAGGTGGCTGAATAAAAAGAAGACCAGACTATGATTTTCTTTGTGGACCGTGATGAACTGCCCTAGAGTTAGATAATGACCAAGTTGATAATTCTTGCCAAAAAATGCCAGTTTAGAAACCACTGAGGATTAAGGAAGGAAGGAAGGAAGGAAGGAAGGGAGGGAGGGAGGGAGGGAGGGAAAGGAAAGGAAGAAAAGGAAAGAAAAGAAAAGAAAAGAAAAAGAAAAAGAAAGTGAGCTAAAAAAAAATAAATGTAATGTGCGACCAGGTCGACCAACTGCAGTGAAAGACAGCCACACTCACCTGGTCCATATACCCAAGAAAGTCCTCCCTCTTCCTTACCATCAACATCTTATGCAGATCCTCTTCGAAGGCATCAATGTTGCAGTCGGCCTTCTCCAAGTCATCTAGAACCTCCTGCAGCATGAACTGGTAGTACTGCTTCATCAAAAGGCCACCCTTGAGGACCTCTTTACACTCCCTCACCAGCTGCAAAAGAACAGACAAGCTCTACTGTCCACACCACTCGACCAAGAGACTCAGAAAGGGGGAAACTTGCCTCTGAAAAACCAGAAAGAATTTCCACGTTCTTCAAAGTTTATTTTTCATGAATATTGTAGTAGTCTCAATTTAGTAAGAACAAAATAATGAAAATACAGAAATTTTAATATTACAGCCAAGAACTGTATTTTAATATTACACCAAGATTCTGGTGCACACCTGTAAACCCAGTTACTCAGGAAGCTGAGGCAGAGGATTACAAATTCAAGACCAGCCTGGACAACTTGGCCTGCCTCAAAATAAAAAAAAGCAGGGTGGGGGGGTGGGCTGCAGATTAAGCTCAGTGGTAGAGTGTCCTGGGTTCAATCCCCAGTACCACTAAAAGAAAAAGAATTATAGCATAGATACACAGAAAATAACATATAGGCAACAACCTGCTTTGCTAAAAGTGCTTACACACACACACACATATACACATACACAAATATTTACTCCTATAAGTAAATTTATATTGCAAGTAAATTCTATAAAGTAAGATCAATTTTTTCTACTAATTTGCATTATTGTAAGAGAGAAAAGAGAAAAATTTTCTGAGGAAACTGGTAAATTTTAACTAAAAACATAATAAAGATTCAAACATACCTACATACAGCAGAGCAAAGAAGTTGTTCAAAAACTTTAGTAGAGTTTACCTACTATGATGTGTGATTTTGTCTACCTTCAAAAAAAGTCTAATATTTGCAAAAGCAAGCAAACAAACCCTAAGCTAATCTGATGGATGTAGATGGAAGTCAAGGAAAACAAGATTAAAAGACAGGTAAATTTGCAATATATAGGTCTGGGAGGTCAGGTTATAAGGAGGGAAAAAAGCTAAAATGAGATGATCTAGAAAGTCCCTCACATGGATAATTTTTAGATGGAGTCCTTAAAGGTTTTTAAAAGAATTATCTACAACGAGAGCGCTATGGCTGTAGTTAAGTCTACTAAAAAGTGTTCTGTTCAGATTATTTAGATATAAATTTCTGTATTAAAAGTGTCACGTAGGTGCAATAACTGATCTCTGAATGCATTTGACCAAAAATTTCTATTCTCTTTGTTCCCTAGCAATACTACATTATAAAGTGTTTTAATAAAAATTACTATTTTATTCTCACAAGAACCCACCAGCAAAAAGTCAGCTCTACCTTGCTTTACCAGGGTGTTGCTGGTGTGATCTGTGAGGAAGGGAGTTCAGTACTTTACTAGAAGGTCCTCAACCGCAATACTGAGGAGAGGCGGGAAGCAGGGCCAAAGTGGACATCAAGATAGCAGCAGAGACGGGCTGGTGGAAGGAGCAGAGCTAAGGTGGAGACAGCTCTGGCGGGTGCCAGGTGCAAACTCAAGTGCCCACTGGCTCTGCTCTTCTACAACAAGCTAAAGACACCTCCCACACACACATCCTGTTCTGAACCTCCTGTACAACCTGATCCACCCTTCCCTCCATCTGTACTGCTCAGTCCTATCATCCTGGCTCTTAAATTCCCAGGGGATAGATGTGGCAGACTACAAAAAAACCACAAATCTATCTTTCTTTTCTTGTAGATTAAAGTAAAAAATTAAGGATTTTGATAGTGAATATCCATATGTTAACGTGATCACAAAACATGAATGCAGGCACTCTTCAGCAGTCACTGCTTGGTAAAACTGCATCTAGCATCCCTCAGCCTTCTCTGCAGCACCAAAGCCCCACAAGAGCCCAGCTGGGAAACCAAAAGTTGTCCTCCCTGTTTAAACCACACGTGAACTGCTTAAGCAAGGAAGGAATCCAAATACCTCTCCTCTGCATATACTTTCTCTAAATAGAACAAAAAATAAACTTAAAGAATTTAAACTCTTAAAAATGACTCTGTTGCTGGGTGCGGTGGCACATGCCTGTAATTCCAGCGGTTCAGGAGGCTACGGCAGGAGGATCGAAAATTCAAAGCCAGCCTCAGCAAAAGCAAGGTGCTAAGCAAATCAGTGAGAATCTGTCTCTAAATAAAATACCAAATAGGGCTGGGGATGTGGCTCAGTGGCCAAGTGCCCTCAATTAAGTTCAATCCCTGTTACCCCTCCCCCACACAAAAAAAGAATGAATCTATTTGCAGTACTCAATGGCTAATATAAAGGAAACACCCTTTTAGAACAAGAAACTGGGTGGTAGAAAGGCTAAACCACAGTCTGAGAATCAGGATCTTTCTTAAAGGTAAAGAACGTTTTAAAATCGCCCTAAAAACACGAACATGCATTCGCTATTCCCTGTTTGTAACAATTAGGAGAGAAAAATCCTCGCCATGAAAAGGCTAACCCTGTAGATTAATGTTAGTGCTGAAAATTTAAACAGCCTTTGAAGCAGACCTGCTTGATACTCAGGAGAGATGGCTCTCCAGCGGGTCTCTGTTCCAGTCGCAGCTTCAGACACTCATGAATGACGTTCAGCAGGACTCGGCAAAGCACTAAAAAGGCAGGTTCGAAGGAGGGCAAGTCCATAGCCTTCAGCTCTTCCCAGGACACAGCACTGTGTTTCTGCTCCGAGGAAGGTGGCGTCCTTGATAGTTGCACGTAATCTGAACCCCACATGGGATCTGGAAATTCAGAAAACTAACAAAAATTCAAGACAGAGATTAAAAGAACACACAGGACAGTGTCCTAAGCTTGTGGTTACAACCTGCTATTCTCTATAATTTTCTGACAAATCTACAAAGTTCTAACTTTAAACAGAAAGAAATCTTTAATAATTCAACACAGACCCCAAAAGTTCCAAAAATGTTACATGACAATAACAATTAAAAGCAAATAGTAATATTTTTATCAAAGTGGTAGTAAGACAAAGCTTCGGAACATGTTTGTAAGTTTACATACAGGATGATTCACATGTATCTCTTGACGGGGAACCAAAGAATTATTGAAATTTGAGAAAAGATTAAAGTCAGAAGAGTTCATCCTAAATAGCCATTTAAGTGAACACAAAAACTTCTGTCCATTTTTCATTTAAAATTCCCAATGACATTAAATGCCTGAAAGGAAAAACTCTGTTCCTTATTTTATAGGTATTTAATCTCGAGTAATATATAACCTGACATCAAACAAATAAGATGTCAGCATATAACCATTAACATAGCAACCTAGGGAATACACTTGAGTATTTTCAACTAGCAATCTACATCAGCACTGAAAAGAAGATTAATTTATCCTTTTATGTTCAACACATATACCTGCATTTAAATTAATGCATACTATACTTGGGTTTCCCTAAAAGGCAGGAATTTCTAAAGCAGTCCCATAATTTTTAAAATGATGATTGTGAGAAATGTGGTCAGGGTTGGGCATGAAAGGCCTTTTTCCCACTAGTATCGTGACTTCAGAAAAAGGTGTTTATTTAAAGCTCTATAAAATTCAAGCAAACTTTCTATGATAACTTTCTGCTGACCCATTTGCTACATCTTTTAGCATGTTCTATATCCCCAGCCCACTGACCCATTTGCTGAGCACCCTCCTTCTCCAGGCAGCACTGCCAGACACCCAACAGGCAGGTCTACCACAGTGAGGCAGCGCAGACCTGCTGCTAGCATTTGGTTGATACAGAGCAGGTACCCCCCCCACACACACCATAACTGTAACAGATAAGCTTCTCTAGGGACCCCCTCCCATCTTGTCAGTAAGATTTTACTGTGTCAACAGGATTTGACAGGAGTTCTACAGAGGGCTCAATGTGGTTTGAAGTTTCTTCTTTTTTGTAAATGCCAGGTGTGATGTTTGATGTCAGCTTGTTGCTATGCAAAAAGTCACTATCTCTTGTTTTCCTTGGTAAAAACCTGTGAAACCTCTGACCTGAAACATGAGACTGAGAGTAACTGGTATGTACCCACCCATTGTCATTGTCCTGTAACCAATCCATTAAGTACAAATCTAAAAGAATGTCTAAACCTGCAGTCCACAGATTTTTTTTTAGGCATTGGCCCCTCCAGACCTTTGCAACTTAAATAAACCTGCTTCCTGAAAATTCCTCAGGTGTCAGGTCTCATGTGTCCTACATCACAGTAAGTCAGCACCAGTCCAGATGTGGGAAATAGTCAGAACTGAGCACTGAAGAGGAGACAGAAGCTTCCTTAAGAGAAGATCAGGGTGAAGAATCAGACACGGTAGCTGACTTCAAATGTTGCTGATTTAATGTATGAAACAAAAAGGCACCATAAAAATAGTGTAATGGAACAACTAACTACTTTAAAGCCCACTGGAGAAAATAAATCAAGAGTTCTGAACTAAGTTAATAAAAACAGCGAGAATAAAATGAATACTACCAAAAATGGAATAAATAATTTAGAAATCAACTGAAGCAATTATCACTATAACTCAGGGCCAAAGGAAAAAGGAACGAAAATTTAAAGTAAAAAATAAGAGGCATTAAGTGAGATCCAGAAGCTCTACCACAAGAACAGGAGTTCCATGAAGAGCAGAAGGAAAAGATGGAGGAGCTGGGGCACAGTCACGAGGGGGTGGGGGGAGCAGCAGCAGGTTCAGGACCATCTCTACAGCCACCACCTCTTGGAACAGTGAACAGTGTGACATCCAGTTCCTTTACCTCTCCAAAGCACTGCATGAGGAAGTACGGCGGTCTAGTCTAATGAAAAACGGACTGGAAGGAGAAGAAAACTACCAAGGAAGTGACATGCTGTGATCCAGCAACACCTGTCCAGGCAGGTACAGCTACATGACGATGATCTGGTTATAAACTCTAATTCAAGATGGAGAACGCATTACGCTTCTTTGAAAAAGCAATACTACAAGAGAAAAAACCTGAATCTTACATTTCAAATTATTTCAAGAAACCCACAGGGTGGAGAAGAGGCAGTGTGGGCAGCACTGTACTTCACTCCAGTGAGGAGTACCACCCCCACCTGCCCAGCACACCAGGAAGACTCGATAATGGAAGGATAATAAGAAGAATGCAATGTAACTCCTCCCAATCCCAATGTCATTTAATATGTATTTGACAAGTCCATTATGAAGTTTATTTGGAAGAAAGTGATGTACAAAACAAACAGCTCAAAAATTTCTGAAAAGAAAAGGTGAATAAGGATAACTGCCCTACAAGAGGCCAAACCTCACTAATATACCTACTTTATCTAAAATAAAAAGGACTGGCCCAATCATAAACAGATCAACAGAAGGGAGAAAAACAGGCAGCTATCTATCTGAGCTGCTGAAGGTAAGCAGCTCATTAAGAATTTGGAAAATAATGGGTCATCTAATGAATGGAATGGACGATTAAGGGAAAAGCAATTACATGTTTACTCACTGGTTTACTACATCCCATACTATCACAAGGACTCATTTTAAAAATTATACAGCTACTTTAGAAATTCCTATCTATTACAGGAAACCAAAGTACATGTTAATTTAAATACAAAAAGTATGTGTCAACTATATACAATTTTATAGATTCTAAACATATTAAAATCTAAACATCGAGCAATACCCTAGCTTAGTCCAAATGAAATTGTCATATTAGTCAGCTGAAGAGGATCAAATATTGGCAATTTTGTACAAACTAATAAAAGGAATTCTGGGAAGACATTTCTTTTATGCCCCCATAAAAATACACGTATCAACTAGGACAGCAAAATCAAAACTATAAGACATTCACTTGAAATTATAACCAAAAAAAAAAAAAAGACAAAATCCTTGACAACACATAATTTAAGTGCACACTATGAAGAGTTTATTGAAAGAAAAAAAAACAATTCTTTAGCTACTCAATAAACAAGCAAACTAAGGTTTAATAACTAGGAAAAAAACTCACATTGTCAGAATTTTCAATCTCAATGCTTCACGCCAAAAGCAAATGAATACAAATTTATTAAAGGAAAGAAAATATGAGCCAAAGACTTTCAAGTATCAATTTGCTAAGTGTCAAGGAATATCCAAGAACTTAGAAAATAATTTTCCCTTGAGTCCTTCACTAGGAGTCAACTAGTGGACAAGCGTCATACATCTAAAGTAACTCAAGACAGCATATAAGAAATATGAGTCTTAAAATATAAAACCTGTATTTTTAATGTCTGTGTGTGTGTGTGTGTGTGTAAAAAGACACAACCCTGTAGAACAAGGACTAAATGAACTCAATGATCACTGTAGAAGAGAAAGTACTGAAAATAAATAGCAACTTTGCATTCTGACAACATAACCATAACTTGCAAATCTGGGGGTGACAGACAAAATACCTTAGCATTTCACTGAAAATAAAAGAAAGTCACTTTAAATGAGAACCAGAAAATAAAACAATATGTCCAAAATTGGGACCCAAAATCGGAGTGGTATTATATAAACGAGGGTATTATGTAAAGATATGTAAGGGTATGCAGAAATATACCATTGTAAATATACTCTTAATGTAGTACACATAAATATATATACAGGGGGAAAATAATCTAACTTTAATACTAAAAATAAATAAAATGGCATACCCCAAAAAGCTTACATTGAAAAAAAAAAAAAGATAAAACAAATTTTTTAAAGATTAACTATCTCTATTAGAGGAGCTAGGCTTCTCTGAAAATATATAATTTTCCATATTTAAGAAAAAAATAGGAATACACATAAAAGATCGTCACAGAATAGTAACAGACATGACTATATGAAAATTGTAAATTTCTCTATAGTTGCTATAGTTTGGATCCATGTCTTCCAAAGGTCCCCAGGATGGTGCTCTTGGGAGGTGCTATGAACCTTTAGGATGAGGGGCCATGTGGGAGGTCCTTGGGTCACTGGTGCATGGTCCCAAAGGGTACTGTTGGACCCAGGCCCCTTTTTCTCCTTTGCTTCCTGGTCATGAAGTAAGCAGTCTTGCTCTGCCACATACTCCTCGCCATTCCCATGTGGCACCCCAGCAGAAGCTCAAAGCAATAAGTCTACTCAATCTTGGAGGCAAACTCCAAAATTGTGAGCCAAAATAAAATTTTTCTCTTTATAAATTAATTATCCCAGGTATTTTGTTATAGTGATGGAAAGCTGGTTAACATAATAGTGAAAGTATCATAAGCTAAAAGACAAATCATAAAAAAATTTATAGCCACCACAGAAAAATAAATAATATCCATAAAGTTTCAACAGCTCAATAATAGACAACCCAATAAAAAATGAGCAAAATAAACATGAAAATTCAGAGGATATCTACTGCATTCAATAAACATGAAAAACACTCTCAAATGTCACCACAAATGAAAGGAATTGAAGACTAAAATGAAATTACATTTTTTTGGTTGATGATGGTACAAATGTGAGGAGAAATGGGATTTCTCCTAAACTCTGCAGGAAAGTATAAATGAGTGGTCTTATTAAAGAGATGGCAGTACCTATCAAAGGCCCTATGACAGTAATTCAATTTCAACCATTCTTATAAAAACAACAGAAAAAGTTCATAAAGGGGTAAGTACAATAATGTTTGTGACTACATTATTTATAAAAACAAACAAAATTCCATCAAGAGTTAAATGGTTAAATAATCTCAATGGTTAAATAAGCTACAGCATGTTGTTACAATGAACACCATGCTGTTATTAGATGGAATTAGCTTTGCAGAGAACATGTAGAACACTACA